AACACTTGGGTTGACAGCTCGAAAGAGTAGACAAAATTTGTGCAAAATACGATTTGTAGAGGTTTGCGGGCTTCGAAATTGGCGCTTTATTTTTTTAAAACAAGACCCCACAGGGTGCTATAGAGCCACTTTTTCATTTTTTCTAATAGATTCTTTTAAAAAAAATCGAGAAGTTGAACAGAAAAAGTGTGCACTTCAACCCGTCATAAAACTTGTGCAAAAACAAAATTTCAAAGAGTGCTCCTATAGCACCCTGGGCAATTATCTTCTGAACATACTGTATGAATTTCATTCAGAAATATTGAAAACTGGAGTGTCAGTTTCGAAGCAGCTGAACCCTTGTAAATGGCTTGAAACTCACTGCGTCGGAGCCGCCTTAAGGTTAGGTCAATTTACGTGGTTGATTTTACACTTTCGTTATACGAGGTCTGTAAATTAAGCGATGAGACTGATTTACTAGAAAAGAAAGAGTCACGCTGTCTGGCAATTGTCAAGGATGAAATTGAACGGATACTGGTTGTTTTAGCTCAGCGAATATGGAAGAAGAACTAACAATATAAATTAGATAAGATGCATCAGATCGAGGATGGTAGGCGGTTTCGTTACAAAAAGTAGTAGGGGTATATTAAAAGATATGATTTTGATTCCAAATTATGTTACCAAAAATATTAATATCCACTGCATGAAAATGTAGCGGAATCATGACCAGGAGTAAAGTGAGAATTTAAGCGTAGATGGTCAGAAAATCTACGTGATCTTTTCACTTCAGGCTTTAACACTGAACTGGATACCTGCTCTTCCCGAACGATGCACTTGAATCGAGAGATCGGATAAATGGTAGTTCTTTCAGTGGTGTTGCATTTAAAGGAAAAAATCCAAAATCAGAGCAACAAATGATTGTCTCTATATTAACAACTGGACAGGTGTGAGAGTTGGAGTTGGACGTTATCGTCAAAGTGAGCAAGCCGAGATCCGAGAAAAACCTCTTTCAGCTGTAATCTACTTGATGTTTTGAATCTCAATTACAGTTAAATATCACATTTCATTACATTTAAGTTATCGCATTCATACCTATATAGTCGAACAAACATTGACGCTATACGAGCACCGCTTTTGTTTATGTTTGAGTGCCACTGTGCGGAGCTTCCCCCATTCTCAGAATAAAGTTTCCGTTGGAAGGTTGTAAACTTTATAGGTCATGGATGTTCGGTCCACCTAAAGATGTTTTGACATCTATTACATAATGTAAACTGACCAATCGTTCATCAGAAAATGTATCTTCACGTTACCACGAGAGCATTTGGGGGTTATGGGCTAGAGAACGTAAGGGAGTCTCTATCGTTTTCATCGGTCACAGTGAGGATGAAAATCAGTTTGGCGAACGTTTGCTAGGTTGCGATTGTCAGATTTTCAGATATTTGCGCGCAATGTTTTGTGTTTTTCAAAAGGCCATACCAACTTCTTTGCTTATCGTTTCGTCTGTCTCCAAGACCTATACGGCACGGATGAACGGGCACTAAACGGCGCTGTTTGTTTTGGGCAAGGAGCAAAACTCGGCTCACTGGGGTAGTTTGTGTTGCTCCTTTAGAATATGAGTTAAGCCCTATTTGGAGTATGAAAATAGGCTCTTTGCGAGTTTCCGGTAAACTGACCTCTGGCAACCGGCCCCAGTGACGGGTTTTGGTCGACATGCAAATACGCAACAACTCCCGACAATTTTCTTCAGTGCCTTTAAACTTTGAAGTCCTTCAATCCAAATTTTTCGTTTTTGTCTCCGTAGCTAAAGGAAGCTCTGTCGACCGCGGTAATTTGGATTTCGAATATGGACGCCAAAATCGCTAAGTGATATTTCGAGTTCTCTTCAAGGCCTGACGCCAGATTCACGATCTACTCACCCAAGAAATTTTGCAGAGGCGCAGGAACTAACTAGAAGATTTCTATTGTTACCTTGAACTACTTGTAGCTACTCCATTTTGAAATACATTATTGCTCTGTCAGCGGCATGAACAAAGCAATTGCGGTATTCAAATATCCTACACCAGTGGCGATTCTCTTTGAAAAACGGTCTGACGTCGTCGAGTTTTCCAGTAAAAATACCAAAACTGTTTATGAGCTTGTATTCATCATTTTCCCCCTCGCGAAACCTTTCAAATTAATAAGATTAATTATGCCCGAAAATGTGCGAAAACAGCAATTAATTATGATTGACTTGCTCCTTTCCCAGCAAAATAATTAGTACCCAGTCAACAAATTAGTATGCCACCTGTTATTGATTTATTAGGCAAGAAACCTATTATGCACGTTTCGTTAAAATAATAATAAACAAGTTGTGCAGAGGGTGATGTACAAAGTTATTATAGTAAGTAGTCGAATGAGTAACATTTGGTTTCAGTATATAACATAGATAAGTTTATGCAAGCGCTTGACAGATACTGAATCTAAAAACGGATGGGAGGGATGGGAGATGCACGTTATCCATATCAACCCAAATGATAATCACTCTCCGTGTGACGTCATGCGCGCCGGCGGACGAAAATCGTACAGCGGAGTATACGGCCCTGAGTTCTAGCGAGGGTGATAAAAGTGAAAGGCAGAGGAAGGGGAGCAGTCTGGCTCGATCAATGATAGAGAACGGATCGACGGTTGTGTCAGGCACACCATACATATTGCGGCAGATGGACAAATATAGATATTCACTTAAGAATCGTGAAAGAGAAGATAAAAAGATTCCGCGGGACTATACCGCGTAGCGGACATACACTGTGAGAGAAGATACAGGGTGGCGCATCGAAAACGAAACAGACACATTTACTGGCAGCTCAGTTTTTTTTGGTAAAGCGCTCAGACCCGTCGATTTTGTTTTCGAGGGGGACACAAGTTTAACAAAAAATCACGTTAGCACGTGCAGCCCCCTAAGGGGGGGTGACACCACCCCCAAAATCTTAGATGGAAAGGGGGTCGAGTGATACCTTATCTTAAAGGTCTTTCAATTCCCTTTATAATGACATAAAATTAATGTACTTCAGTTCAGTTGTTTTGAAGATTTATTGATTTAAAGTTTAAATAACACTAATACATCATCATTAGTGGAGATCAATACATTTGGCAGCAAAGTAATTTAAAAACGAAGAATGAACTTACCGTTAGGCAAGTATAGGTTGAAAATGGACCATGACCCTCCATGTAATAATAAAGATTTTGCTCAAAAGGTTGCCGCACGTTTTGCAATATTTGAGGAGTAATATGAATGCACTCATTCACAATTGTTTGTCTCAGGTCTTCTAATGATGATGGCTGAGTAGCATAGATTTTGCTTTTTAAATGACCCCACATAATGAAATCCAAAGGTGATAAATCTGGCGATCTTGGGGGCCATTCAATAGCACCTCTTCTACCAATCCATTGATCTGGAAACGTCTAATATAAATATTGTCGAACACGTAATGCGTAATGTGGTGGGGCACCATACTGTTGGAAAATCAACCTATTCGCAATGTACCGCCGATCATTCTGATTTTCAATTATGGCTGTTAATGCAGGATCCATGGCGTATTCCAGTAATTCCAAATACATTTTACCGGTCAAATTTCCAGGTAAGAAAAAAAATCATCGTCAAAAATACCAGCCCAAACATTCAATTTTTGTGGCTGCTGTGTATGAACCTCATGATAAATTCTGGGATTAGAATCGGACCAATATCGGCAGTTATGACGTCGGAAAAGCAAGTGTTGTATAGAAAATGTTCATCGTCTATAATTCGTTCACTCATATCTTCACAAAATTGTAATCGCCGATTAAAATCGTCTTCATTAAGTTCTTGTACCAGGTGAATTTTATACGGATGAAAACTATGGGCCTTTAGAATCCGTTGGACAGTACGTCGACTAACTCCACACACAGTCTCCAATTTGCGGGTACTTAACGTAGCATCTACATGAACTTGCCCTAAAACCCCCACCCCTATTGCTTCGTTCCTTTTGGGACTTTCAACGTTCCGTTTTTTATTGGCGACTGACCCACTTTCCCAAAATTTAGCTACAAGTTCTAGAACATATTTTCGATGCGCGTTACTGTTATCATGTCGCTCATTGAATATTTCTGCTGTTCTATTAGCGCACTGATTAGTTCCGAAAAATATTTCGATAATTTCAACTCTTTCTGCTGTGGAATATACCATGGTTAATTTATGTAATAAAGCGTTACAAGATATTTTAGCAACAAAGTTTGGTCAAATCAATCGCAATCTATGTACTAAATTCCTATTTAAAATAAGTCCGAGATATTTCCTTATCTTTCTTCAAGAAATAACTTTTTTTGCCACAAAAGAACGCTCCAATAGTGAAGAAAATCATTTACTTATTAAGTAAATTCTTTTGGTCAAATTTCTTCTGAAAGAAGTACAAACTAATCTGATGTACCTATTAAAGTCTACGTTAAGCTTTAAGTCAATAAATCTTCAAGACTACTGAACTGAATCTCGTGTATTTTACATCATTATAAAGGGAATTGAAAGACCTTTAAAATAAGGTATCACTCGACCCCTCTTTCCATTTAAGATTTTAGGGTTGGTGTCACCCCCGCCCAGGGGGCGGCACGTGTTAACGTGATTTTTGCCAAACTTGTGTCCCCCTCGACAACAAAATCGACGGGTGTGAGCGTTTTTCCAAAAAAAAAACTGAGCTGCCAGTAAATGCGTCTATTTCGTTTACGATGCGCCACCCTGTATATATGGTGCCTGGACCAGCCACCAAGCTCATTGTCAGTGGCTGTTTTAGGATGTAACTACATAGAATCTATAGTTACGACGAGTTAGGTACACTGAGATTACTTTGATAGACTTAAATCTGTTAATCAAGTGTCGGGACTGCTTCCTTATAGTATTATAAAATAAATTGTTGTTTTGTAGTAACTAAAGTAACTAACAGAGACTGACATTCCACCCTAGTCCACCACAGTTAATAAGAACTCCATAAAACTTACATTTAGCTATTAAAAGTGAATGGTTGATGGTGTCAAACGCTTTAGAAAAATCCAAAAGAAAGTAGTTTGATTGTTATCTCAAGCCCTGTCAGTTAGATCTAACAACGCTGCAGCAGTAATATATCACTTCTTAAAACCGCGTTGTCTAGATGGTAGTGTACCACATTTCAAAACGTATTCATTTATTTGTGTATTCATTGCCTTTTCCAATAATTTGAAAAGTATAGGTAAACCTAACCACCCTTTACCTTAAAAGCCTATTGAATTTAATTTCGTTATGACAGCTCATGTGCACGATTCAGGCAAAAGATAAAACAAAGTTTTAAAGCGTACAGCTTTTTCGAAACTTGTTATCTCAGACCACCTTTTCAGCAAAACACAGCTATATAGCCAAGGGTACCATGGTTTGATTTGTGACCAAGTTTTTCATTATTAGTTATCCACATCTTTTCTTTTTATTTTGACGTTTTGTATCCTATTTACAGGCTAACACAAACAAAGCATTATTCTATTCTATTCTAGGTCGAGGGAACATCATACTTCAAAAACATACATGTTTATTATTATAAACTTAACGTGAAATACAGCACGACCTGCTGCACAAGTCATTGGTAATTTCCCGAAGATACCAAGTCTTAAATTATTAGTAAAGCCATCCTCTCCTGTCACATTCGAAAGTTATATACCAAGCTCTTCTCCTAGCTGTATCATTTATATCCTTGTACATCTGCTCAGGATCGAACGAGTGATCGGTTAAATCAGACTTTCTCTTCTTTCCCTGTACAATTAACGTCGAAAAGAATAAGGCGTGACCAAACTCAAATTCAGCTTCCAGCTTCATCTCTTCCAAGAACGCATCAAATCCAAACTCACTAGTGTCACATTTCAACATATCTAGAACGGATATGAAATGTTCGTGGTAGAACTTCAGAAGAGAATCTAAACATCGCTTCAAGACTTCTAATTGAACGCTTGAGAAGAGAAAGAAGAACACATCGGATGCTGCAGATCTGTAGTTGTAGATCTGAAAGTCTACAAGTTTATTGCTGATAGGTACTCCTTCTACGAATTTTTGCATCATGTTATTCACCCATAGATCACAATGCGCTAATGTAGCAAAAGGTTCTCTAGACTTCCTTTCGTCTTCTCTCTCCCCCCAGGCTCTTATTTTTGATGCCAATGGTTTACATTTTTCGTTTTCTTCAAGGACCCTTCTTAGTATGGGTAGTAGCGGCTGAACGACGTCCTTCATTGGAATGTAGTCACTGCAGAAAGCCTTTACTCTCTTCTGGAATACTTCTGGCTTCTTGAGCTTTAGCGCAATGACGGTTGCGTGAAAATTTGCTATGTCTTTTAATATCAGCCTTGTTGTGGATAGATCAAAGCATAGTAGCCTATCCACGTTTTTGTACCCTGAAAACATAAATTCAATGCTTATATGTTACAGTGCTTCCAAAATGGTACCATCTACGTTTCTTTGGGCAGGTTTTATTTAGCAAGCTGAAAATCGGATCAACTTAATGCATGGATGCTATATTTCAGCTTAAGAGCGGTAGTTGAAAATTCAATATGGTGGACAGGCGCCTTGAATCATTTCTTCAAGTGGAATGGAAGTCACATGGCATTTCATTTTGAACTTCCTGATGAGTCTTGTACAAACCTGAATTATAAACCCACTCATTTTTTACATCGAATTGCGTATAACTTAAAAACCATCCATCAAGACGATACTATGTTACATCAGTCTTCTTCTATTGGAATCGCCTATCCTAATGTAGAATATAATATGTGAAATCTCATTTAAAATAAAGCGTCAAAACCTGTCATTGTTTTAATAGCATCTACTACATTTCATTCCACATTCAAATTATCTCATTACCTCTATTTTGAAAGGAGAATGTATGTTCATTCCAGAGATATTCAGTTCCCAAATACAGTCACTATGCCTACCCACAGAACTTCATTCTTCCATAGAGGCTTCACCTTTGATGCGATCTATCTATATAATTCATTACCCCCTGAAACTGAATCTTTAACATTTGATAAGTTCAAAAGACATATCGAGAATCTACTTTTAGAGTGCCAAAAATGATAATACTTATGTTTCACTTCTGCTTATAAAAATAGTATCTATTCTAACAACTTTGTTAGATTATGAGTCTTATTGTCATTTATCTATTTTACTCATGTTTGTATTTATTTTTGTATGGGTTTTACTTAAATTTACTCTCAACATAGAAATATACGTTAAGAGAATACACGCAAACTTTTCTAAATTTATACTTGGTCCCAAAATCTTTAGCACCCTCCCAAAAGATATACAGGGAATACAAAATCAAAATCACTTTAAGTATTTTTTGAAAGGTATTTTAATAAATAAATGTTTGTATAATTGCTGTGCGCTTATGAGTGTGAATATGATGTTTATTACCTTGTTTTATTTATCGTTTTGTTATGTCTATGTAGCTTTTCTGTTCATGACTTTTATACAAACTTTGAAGACAAAACAATTAATATTATCTTGTAGGCGAAACTTGGACACCTGGCAACCTGAATTTTTTTTCAGGCATTTAATAATTGTTCTTAACTCGAAGCACTCACTTTTAGAGAAAAGCCACTGATGACATCTTTTGGTTTGTAGAATTATCAGCGGCGGACGTGTAATTAATATACTAACATCAAAATACTGCGATACACATTCGCCTACCCCCCTACCACCCCTCACAACAAATACTTTATCCTTTTAAGAAGTTTGAGCGATTTTAATTATATTCATTTTGGGATTTATTATCCGCCGCCTGTGTACCGGTTTAGAAACACTACAGGCACATCAGTAACCTTATGTAAAAATTTCGTCCCAACCCGCACGGGTATCACGTATCTTAAAAAGTGACATTATGCCGATTTTTTTTTGGCATTATGCTGTTTTTTTGACATTATGTAGGTTTTTCTACAAGATGTTAACTTAGCACTTAGCTGTACGTATTGCCTAAACGTAATGAGGCTTGTTATCAGTCTTTGGCTCTGATATGATGTAAAATCTGCTTCGAGATGGCATTACTGGAGGTCTAAGCTGTATGTTGTATGTGTTGATGATAAATACATTGGGTTATTATCTCAAATACCCCTAAATGAGATTCAAAGCTAGAAATTAGTTGCGCATCCACTTTTTCATATCCATTCTGGAAATTACATACCCAAATTTGCTGAATTTCAAAAATGAGAGAGATAAGAAATAGCATGCTAACAGTAATTACACACAACGTGGGCCAGTAGTTCTCCTCAGTTTTTCGTAATTATTAACTTTGATCATAACTTCCCTTCAAAAAGCACAACATATAAATAACCCTTCATATTGAGTATGTTCAGTAAAGGTGTTCTCACACAGCACATATCACTGTTTTTATACACATGCAGACCAATACACATAATCATCCAGATGCGGTCTTGCTACTCAACAAAACCTTCGTTCTGCACATTTGAATCCTACACATTGAGGTCTATGAACCAAGTGGCTCTCTGCAACCAGTAATACATATTTGGGAAGAGAAAAGTATGGTGTATCGTTCTGATATTCCTCCGTAGATGGAAGTTTTGGATCGCGCTTACAACGACTCAAGTATGAGCAAACGTGAAATGACTGTTTGCACCCTAAAAACTGCCTAGTACGAGCCCAAACAACTAAATATTCGAAAACTTTTAAATTTTGTGCAAATTGCTGCTGATAAATGCAATCTCCGACAGGAGGAAGTTTGCTATGATCGCCTACGCATACGTCAAATTTGGCTTCGTCACTAATATGATCTTGGTCCAGTTCTCATACTTCCAAGAGCGCTTTGATTTTGCCCAAATTAAGCGCCTTTGTTTTTGGACTTCAGTTAGAAGCAGTTTTTCTTTAGCCTCATTAACGAAAAAACACTTTAAAATTATTCTGGAATAATAATTTTATAACGCATACCTTATAAAATTTGAGTCGAGATTTATGAATGTATTTTCGACAGCATTCTCGTGAAACCTGCATTTCACACTTTGTGTTCCACTGAGGGGTAACTGCCCTTAAAGTGTTTCGTCTACCTGATTTGCAGATTTTGACCAAAACTCTTCGTGTCCGTGCAGTCGCAATCCTCGGTCGACCTGGACGTTTACCGCGCACATCAGTACTGGAGGTTTCGCCATACCTTTTTATAATGTCCGAAACTATAGACTTAGGGATCACAAGATCACTTGATATTTTTTTTTTTGCAAAACTGCTGAATAATAATTTGCCTCAGTTTCTGGTTAGTGGCTGCACCTCGCACCATTTTTGAATGAATATAAATTACCAACAAGAAAATACAATTAGGTACTAAATACAATTTCTTACGACATTGACATAAATGGTATTTTGTCACTGGTATCACCCTCAATTGTTTTTGCATAGCCTGCTAGTCTTTGCTTATCTCTAATGTTATGCTTCTTGACATTTAGTTGTCACCATATTTCACGATATTTCAGTGATTTTGTCTGTCCTAAAGTAATAAATTTGAAATCAGAGGTGCCGCTATTAAAAATATCTGTTTATTATGCTCATCTATCAATATAAATTGATTGCCAATCATTTTTAGAAGGCGGCAGTTAATTTATGGGTCCACTTGTACAAAAGGTAAAGGTGTCGGAATATTTAGTTGTTTGGGATCGTATGCGTGTTGACATCTTATAGGTTTTTTTCTGAAATTTTGTAGTTTTTTTACATGATACCCGTGCTGTAGAGGGATGCTATCATCGCGCACCTAGCGTTATACATTTTATACATATTTACCGACTAAAATTTCATTGCATCTAGAATAGAAACCATAATTATCGAATTATTATTAGATATTAAATGTATGTTCAACTAACACAACAACTTTTGCCGTTGCATTGCAAACGGCTATTTGTTCTACATAATTTGTTGAAGTTTTTGTTCGAGTAAAAACAATACAAATGATGAATTTCCCTTCCCGCTAGTAATTTAATACGTGAATACAAACCAAAAGCTAATACCGCTGCTATACTGGAAAAGGTATATAATTTTGGCAACGCAATTATGGGAAAATTATGTGAAATTAATTCGGCTTTTGTATATATGTCATATAATTTAAATTTGTAGCCACTATCTCGTGATGATTCTATCAGTATATATTTAAGGCACAACACCAAAGCCTGGGAAATAGCAATTATTTGATAACCATTAATTTCTAACAAAAATATTCTTAGGCTAAGATTAAAATATGAATATTAATCGCCCAGTGCTGTATGGTTTTCAGTTTTGCTCGTATACTAAGTGACATATAAATCCGAACACCCAGTTTAAATGGTTTTATTTTAATAAAAGTTGGTGAATGTATTTATTTTACTGTAAATAACAAGTGAAAAAATTTTCAGCCTTACCAGTTGGACATTCCGGTTTTTATACTGCTTTTTTTTAATTCACTAACGCTGTAAAAATGGATATTTCAGCCGCAGTAAAGAATCAACGTTGGCGGATTTAGGTTCTTGACATCCTTTACGATCGGTTACGATGCCTAGAGTACGGAGACCTGTACGATTTCGTCAACTTAGTGAGTTTGATAGGGGCCGTATAGGGGGACTTCGGGAAGCTGGACTTTATTTTCGGGCAATTGCAGTTAGAGTGCAAAGAAGTGTAGACACTGTGGTTAGGTGTTGTCAGGCATGGCTTCGAGAAGGCCGTACGCAAAGAGCAAGAGGCACTGGACGCCGCCGTAGAACAACAGACCGTGAAGATCGCCGTCTAAAATTATTGGCCTTAAGGGACCGTTTCTCCACTGCCAGGTCCATTGCAAATGAATGGTTTGCAGAACACGGAAGACCTATTGGCATGGGAAGTGTTTACCGACGAATGAGAAGTTTTGGCTTGTTTTTATACCGGCCACACTGGGTCCTCCCTTTAACTCGAGAGCACCGACGTAATCGCCTTGGGTGGGGCAGACAACGGTCAGCCTGGGATCAGGAATGGAACAGTATTGTCTTTAGTGACGACTCTCGATTTTGTTTAGGCATGCACGATGGTCGTGCCAGGGTTAGAAGGCGACGTGGTGAAAGGAGGAATCCACAGTTTTTTGTTGAAAGACATGTTCATCACACTGTTGGAGTTATGGTTTGGGGTGCTATAGCTTATGGTACCAGGTCACCTTTAATATTCATCAGAGGTAACATGAACGCGCAGCGTTATATCCACGAAGTTCTAGAACCCCATCTTTTACCCTATCTTGACACCCTGGCAGATCCAACTTTCCAAAAAGATAATGCCCGACCACATGTTGCAAGAGTCACAATAGACTTCTTTCAACATAATGATGTCACATTGTTACCATGGCCACCAAGATCTCCCGACTTATCCCCAATTGAGCACGTGTGGGATATGATGGGTAGGAGATTGCTCAATTTGCAACGTCCTCCTCAGACTCTAGAAGCACTTCGAGAGGAGTTGGTGGTTGCCTGGAATGAGATACCACAGGAGGACATTGACCACCTGATCAGAAGCATGCCTAGGCGCGTTGGAGAATGCGTAGCACATCAGGGTACATCCACACATTATTAAAGGTCGAACGGCTTCAAAGCAGTGCAATCATTTTGAAGTTTTTATCATTTACTTATTATGCTTCATTAAGTACTTATACAAAATTTTATTAAAATAAAACCATTTAAACTGGGTGTTCGGATTTATATGTCACTTAGTATATTTGTATCCGCAACTGTGAAGTGGACAACAACCTACAAAAATGCAATGGAATAAGCTCTCTCTATGCTTCACCTGAATCAGACATTGATATTAGGTGCTACTTTGGAAACAAACGGGCATTTATCACTTGAAATGAAATTATTTCCAATGATTCAAAGATTTCTCAGTGGATCAGAGGTACAACCGTAACATTCTCAAGTAGCAACCTATCTTAGGAGTCAATCTGATTGACGCTATTTTCTCATTATTTTGCGATCCGTTCAAATTCCCTCACCTGATGTGTGCAAATTCTCCAAGATTAAAGCAGCGTCTTCGTCAACTTCGTCACTATCTATGTCCAAGCTGATTCTAGCTCCATAACACTTTGCAAAACAATCAATTACGTCTTTAATACCCATTTCCCTTTGAAACTCGTGTAGCGCTGGCACTACAGTCATGTAGAATGCTACTTCCTTCTTGTAGGTTACCTGGGAATATGATCTATGTTGACACAGTACCTTGCAACTAATAATAAACAATGCGTACTCTAAAGGGTGAGAGTATTAGTGTGAATGGCAACATATGATAATAATAATCGGTAGTATCTGTATGAATGAATCAGGAAACAAACTTTTCAGAGGTCTTCCTTCATCATATTGGTAACTGATAAACTTGCTGTGTAGATATCAAATAAAAAAAATGGTACCGCCCGCTTTCTTTTGGGCTGCAATGTTTCGTATCCCCTTTGGTACCGTTATTCATTTTTACTTTAGTACCTATAAAATGGCCACAACTTGCGTTAAGTGATTTTTGATTCACAATTTTTTTTTATATCGAAATAGCCGCGCAGGCAGAAGCCTAAATGCCGGAACACCGCGGCTGCTATGATGATCCTAAAGAAATTTTGTTAATACGATTTTTGAACTTCCTAAGGTTAGTAGAACTGGGAAAAGCTTCCTCTTGTAGATTGTTCCACAATCTAGACACCCTCGGGACGAAGGAGCGGTCGTAACGGCCAGTTCTGGATGTACGAAGTTTGACACGGTTAGGATGGGACGCCGAAGTCAGGCGGGTCTATCTGGCAGGCACATCGCGCGGCGGCAGCATGGAAGAGAGCTCTGAGGAGCAAAGCCCGTTGGTGTAGCGATAGAAAAGAGCTAGATCGCCGACGGCCCGCCGGTGCGAAAGAGTCTCGAGACTGTCTGTTAGAGAAGAGTCATCGATCAGTCGGACCGCCCTCCTCTGGACAGCATCGAGCATGGACAATGTAGTCGGGGCGGCAGCACCCCAAATGTGGGAGCAATACTCGAGGCTAGGCCTTATCTGGGCCTTGTATAGAGTGAGAAGGTCATGCGGAGAAAAGTACTTCTTAGCCCTAAACAAATAGCCTAGCTTTTTCCCAGCAGCTGCAGCTATTGAAGAGATGTGTTCGTGCCAGATCAGGTCCTCGGTGATCTGGACTCCGACCAGCCGAAATGAATGGCTCTTTGGTAGAACTCGGCCGTCCATCGAAACTGTATGAGCGCTAGGACGCTTTTTGTTCGTCAAAGTACAGTACTGTGTTTTGGAAGCATTGTACCGTACAAGATTGTTGCGTCCCCAAGCAGTGATAGCCTCCAGGTCTCTTGTCATAGAAGAAGTCGTCGCTAGTCTTCTTTTTTCCAGCTCAGCGGCAGAGATCGGCTTGTCACTCTGAATTCCTGCATGTAGAGTGCTGTCATCAGCGAAGCTGTGGATTGTGTTGATCGTGCAGGAAAGGATCGTTGATATGTAAGAGGAACAGTGTTGGAGCCAAGACCGATCCCTGGGGAACACCCGCGTTGACGTTGTGGGATGATGAGGAGAATCCGTCAATTACGACGGATATCTGCAAAGCTTTTCTGGTAGGCCATAGGATGGAAGTTTGCTTAAGAGGGCAGCGTGCCACAGCTGATCGAACGCTTTCGTGATGTCAAGAGCAACGACATGAGCCTCACCATGTGACTGGATGAGTTTACTCCACAGTTGCGTGACGTAAGCTAGGAGGTCCCCTGTGGGTCTTTGGTGCCGGAAACCGTACTGCCTGTCGCTAATCAAGCTGTGACGTTCTAGGTAGTCCAGAACCTCGCGATTTATGCACCTCTCCATCACTTTACTTATAACAGAAAGCAGAGCTATAGGCCTGTAGTTGTAAGGGTCGGTCTTAGATCCTTTTTTTGGGATGGGCTGTACATGAGCAAATTTCCAGTTTTCTGGGAAGGTGCCGGATTCATGAGATATCTGGAAGAGACGCGAAAGAACTGGAGCAAGCTCCGCTGCACATCTCTTCAGTACAATGGCAGGAATCAAGTCTGGACCAGAAGCTTTGTTGATGTCGAGCAACAAGAGCACTCGTCTTATGCCTGAATGTTACATCCCGCATAGTGTAGGGAACCCTTTGAATTGACGGCACTTGAGAGTTGGTGGGGACGTCCATGGTGGAGTTGGCAGCAAAGTTCTTGGCTAGCACTTCCGCCTTGGCCTTTGAGTCGAATACAATAGTTGCATCCTGACACGTAAGTGGTGGAAGGCTACTGTGTGAGAAGTTCTTTTGAATCTGCTTGGCCGGCGTCCAGAAAGACCGACTGCCATTGCGCTGCGACATTACCCTGTGCCTAACTTTTATATCATGCTGGTTTTTGGCATTGCGAACCGCTTCGTTATATTTGTTTCTGGATTCAACGTCGGCTTGTCTGTTCTCTACAGTGGGGTTTTGTAAGTAGGTTCTGTGTGCCTGGATCTTCTGCTGGCGAGCAGTGTCACACGATTTGTTAAACCAGCCGTTGGACCCTGGTTTAGGAACTTTCACGTTGTGAGGGATGTATTCCTCCATTCCGACGTGGATAATTTCGGTTATCGAAGAACAGACCGTGACGCATCCGCGTCAGTGGAACAGACATCTCTCCAAGGAAAGCTAGAGAAGAAGTCTCTGAGCCCCTCCCAGTCGGCATGTCCGTAATGCCAAGTTTTGCGGCCTGTACGAGTTTCTGCTGCCACAGCGGCTTCTGACCGAAACCTAACCTCCACAACACCGTGATCTGAGTTACCCAGGGGGGACAGGACAGCAGTGCTGTAAGGGACAGGATGCGTGGTCAGAAAGAGATCCAGCAGGCCACTGGCGTGTGACGAGACGCGGGGGAAAAAGTAGGGCTCTTGACCAGCTGGGTCAGCCCTTGAGTAAGAGCGAACGCTTCGACTGCACGACCTGCTGCATCGGTCTGATTTGAGCCCAACCAAAGCTCATTATGGGTATTGAAATCACCGAGAAGAACTACCTCTGAAGCAGGGTGATTGATGTTCAGGAAGTCGATCTGGACGGCGAGGCATTCGAGTAGGTCATCCCAGTTATGGTTCGAGAGAGAGCGATAAAGGCAGCAAATAAATTTGGGTGATGTTTTGGAGTTGAGGCGAAGTCACAGAATGTCCTTCCGGTCTGATTCCAAAGAAAGATCCCTGGAGCAGGAAAGACTGCTGCGGACAAAAGCCACAACTCCCCCGTTCTTTCTCAGATTGGAGTGCACCTCGTAGTTTGGGAAGTTGAGATGGTTAATCGGTGCAGTCTCTGAGATTTTTGTTTCCGCCAAGAAAAGCACGACGGGATGATTGGACCGCAGGTAGTGATGAACAGCATCAATGTTGCTGTTGATCCCGCAGATATTCGAAAAACAAATTTTATCTTCGATGTTGTTCCCTCGAGCCCACCCTCCACCCGGACATTCCGAGAGTGGAGTGAGTTTACGTCCGGAGTTCTTAGTGCTCGAGAGATCCATCATCATCGGTCGACTGGTCCTTGTCTACCACCTTCTTTTTACGCGTTAGTGATGTTAAATAGACCTAAAGTGGCCCGTTGGCGGACTTGTACCGCCACCCGGCAATCGGTACTGAGGTATTCCTTAACGCGTCTTTGTCTTATGTAAATTGATCAATGAAAAAATAATTTGATACTATCGTGTCTATTGTAAGTTGAACTTTTCATGACCTTGTACCTGTGCACAATAGAGCACGTTTCAACAATTTGATAAATCTTAATTTGCGTTTACCTAACAGACTTTAATTTAAAAGTGGGGTCTATTTCCATTCAGATAGTATACTACTGTGTCTCTAATATAATACTTGAGGTTACTATTTTTTATAAGCAGAGCTCTCTAAATAACTGAAAGCTGAAAAACTCGATGATGATATATATAATATTCTGATTAGGTACTTTTATGATTAAGAGCATCTGAATTGTCTTTCTGGTTGAATAACTATTTTTACATAAAGTAAAAATATTTTGATTTAGATTACATTTTATAGACAGTTAGACATAAGTAAGAGGAACTTGTGATCACGCTTTGACATCAAGTTATTTGCTGAATCGTCCACTTAGGACATGTTGCTGAGAAGGCCATTTATGTTTTTTCGAGTTATATTATCCCAAGCTAACTGTACTTGGTTACGCTGCTAGTGTTTGAGGTAATGAGGTCATTATTCTTCTCATCATATACCAAACATGTTCAATGGGCGTAGGGTCTATAGATCTAGGAGGCTGAGGAGAGAGGTTTACTTGAACATTAGTGTAGCTCTAGCAGTGTGGTGGTGGACATATCTTGATGGGGATGGGAAGGGATTCTCAAGCGCTTGGAGAAATGGCAATAGGTGGGGATCCAGTATTTCCTGGTTATATCGTTGTGCCGTTATACTGCATCTAATGGAGGCTACAGGTGACTTAACGCCATTCACGACCAATAAATGTAACTAAAGTACGGCGCCTAGGACGTTCAATTGTAAACTCAGATAACATCTATCAATCTCACTTTTTGCCATTTCTCCGAACGCATGACAACCCTGTTTTTCAACTTTGCAGTCTTGTGTCCCTGACCGTCGATACCATTCAAGTTATACGTCCTTGAGTTTCGGTCAATAAATACGTTTCGGCCACTTTAAACGCCATCTTCAGGTACACATGATTTTCTAAAATTAGACAACAGCGTCAATTTTTTACATAAACTTTGTGTTTTGAAAATACTTTATTTATAATTTCAGAGAGACCTGTAGTGCGTTGTTTTTTATTGTAAGTTTGGTGTACTTTCTTCTTTAAGCTGTGATCGTTAAAAGTTCAGAGGTAGTTATTCTGGCAAATAACCACTCCCATTTTATTTAGGTTGGTACGTCTGCCTGGTTTGTCAATCTGTTAATAACGCTCCTTTTGCAGGCATTTGGAACATTGGCATAGATATAGATGGCAAGATAATACCTCTGCCCGTATTGCTAGAACTACGATGAAGTATCTCTATAATAATAATAATAACAATATTTATTAGCCAAAATACAAAAATTGGGCAAACAAATATGAAAAAACCACAGAAGGCATCGCCTGTATGTGGATTATATCTTAATAACTAACAATCGATCATATGTGTATAACAACTATTGTTAATTCTAAAAAGTATTAATAATATAATTGGAATTTTGTAGTTTTAGTTTTCTATATAATTATGTATGTCATTCGCTGCACAGTACAAACTCAGACTTTCAATTTTCGTCTAAATTTTTTTCCAAAACTAAGTATTTTTATTTCGTTTGGTACTACATTATACAGGGTGCGGCAGAGAGGACGGACATCTTTGGGATGGGTAGTACTCTCCGCCTCCGTCTACGAGAGAGGTGGGGAGGGTGCCGTTTGACACGTGAGATCCTACCATTATTTTACCAGTTATCGTTATGGAGCCTTGGACAGTGGAGCACCGCGTTTTCGCCTATGATTGTTTCGTCCGAAATAATGAGTCAGTCATCGTCGTACAGCGTGAGTTTCGTCGCCACTTCAACATTCATAGGAATAGAGCTGTTCTCTCTCGAAACACCATCCTTCATTGGGTAGAATCACTTCGCAGGCGTGGTGAACTGATCAACAGAAGACCAAGCGGAGCGCCGCGCACAGTTCGAACTCCTGAAAATGTTGAACGCGTTCGACAGGTCTTCGCAGTCCGACTCGATCTGCCCGGAAACATGCTGACGCACTTCGCCTTAGTGATCGTTCGGTAAGGCGAATTTTGCATATGGATCACCGCGAAATTCGCCCAAGTTGAGAGAGCGATGTTGGAAAGAGTCTACGCGAACTTCCAAGAACGCCTCCAGCACTGCATCAAAGATTTCTGCCACCACATGCCTGATGTGATTTTCCACACTTGACTGTCTCAAATGCTATTTCCTTGTGAACCTGATTCCATCAATAAATTTGTTTTCGAGTAAAAATTAACTATTTTATGATTTTTTTAAAACCGTCCATTCTCTCTGCCGCACCCAGTATAATTTAGCTGCTAAGAACTTAAATGATTTTTTGGCTTTCAAAACAGTTTTTTGTGCTATATTCCATGTCAGAAATATATGTCTTGTAGGCAGCACCCCAGGCTGTGATGCCGTATATTATATGGGTTTCAAAACGATTCGCAGATAACTTTCTGTAAGAATGTTAGCAAGCATTTTGAGTTTATAGGCAACGTCTCCAATTTTTTTGATAACATATTTAATATGGTTATCCCATCTTAGATGTGAGAATATTCCAAGATATTTCAAAGTGTTAACTCTATCGATTTTGGTCTTTTGGCCATGATAATGAACGGAAATTTGTTCGAAGATAGGTAAAAATTTTGAATAGGATGTAAATGCAATAAATTTTGTTTTTTGAAGTTAACTGTTAAAATTTTAGTATCAAACCAGTCAATGATCTTTATAAAATCTTTTTCAGCTATTTGCTTCAGTGTGCTCCAGTCATCAGATTTATACTCGTATAATATGAGAGTGTCGTCTGCAAAATATATAATCTTTCCAGAACTGTTAACTTTGAATTAGTCATTTAAGTAGACACTAAATAATAGTGGGCCTAGTACTGTTCCTTGAGGCACACCAGACTTTATGCACATTTTTTTACTGTAAGTGTTAGTGATTCTGACAGTCTGTGCCCGACTTGAAAGGTAATTTTTTAAAAGGATTTGTGACGTTCCCCTAAATCCCAATCTTTCCTTAACTTTTAGAAGCTCGACATGGTTAACTGTATCAAAGGCATTTTTTAGATCAACAAAGATACCAATAGTAGGTATTTTTTTGTTGACATTAGAGTTAATTTCATACATTGCAGCCAAAATTGCATCTGTAGTAGATTTTCCTTTTCTAAATCCATATTGGTCAGAACGTATAATTTTGTTTTTGTCCAAAAATTGTAACATGCCATACATTTTCCCAAAATGTATTTGTTTATGAGTAATATTCCGTCCACACGTGGATGGGCCACCCTGTATGAGTATATACTACTCAAATAAAACCATTTTAGTGGATGTTCGATTTTTCTCAAAATAGTATAGTATATATACCTGTATATTGAATATTTCTTGTATCATCTTCAAAGTAGGTATTTTCTTCGCGACCATGTGCAAGGTTTGTCTGTTACCACCATTAGCACCCTCAACTCCTATGTCTAACTTAAGCATTATACTGCCATAGTTCTCACCAGGAGCAGTTAGTCTACTTGTCTGCACCTACAATAAAAATACTAATACCAAATAGAAAGTATGAGATGACTACATTACAAGTCCCAAATGGGAATAGACTGCATGCTCTTGTAAGCGAAAGGACATCACCATTGCGAGAAATCACGCGATCATCAGGAACACGTGTCTGTGGCAATTCCAGTTGCCATTAAGCCCCCGGATCTCTTCATGATACATGCGAAATATAAAGTGTCAAATTATTGAAAAGTATAGTGATAGTTCTTGTGACACTGCGGGTACGCCTACCTGCATCATATTACGAAAACTAACTCCTTTTAATATAACCAGGAAAATCACGCGAACTCTTACAGACAATCAAAATACAAAGCAGGAATATTATCAACGCGATCTTGAGTCAGAGTTTCTCGTCGTGATTTCTGTCTTGACTTGTCAATTACGTCGTCACTATTTCCATAGTATTTCGAAACCACAGAAGCGAAAACAGCGCCAGCTCTATTGGTTATCCCGTACCGGTCATAAATTCTTGATACATTTTTTAGGAAAGATGTTTCTCGCTTTTTTGGTTCTTGCGATACCGATGAACATTCAGACAAGGTTTATTTTTGGTTGTTGTTATGCTTTTCGGGAAAATCACGTTTTTTGTGATAGGAGCCGGGTTTATCGATAGATTTCCAATTTGTTTTTTCCCTCGAACAGTTTTCTTTTTTATAACCGTTCGCCTATATGATCGACTAAGAAAGCTCGTTCTCCTGTGGGAACTTTCTGGTCTCCTAGACAAATACAGGATTAAAAATTTTCGGACTTACATGCACACAAATCAAACGGTTTGTTAGAGTTTTTGTGGAAATCTTGCATTGTTCCTCCTGGCAGGCGTTTTGAAGGTTTTATTAAAGTCTTGTACTTCCCATGATAAGCTTTTATCAACTGTAATACCCGTTTATGAGATACGATAGTGATAAAAGCTTTCTGTCACAAATTTTAAACATTTTTCGAGACGATTTCAGATATCTCATTGGTGGATGACACCTTTTTTGAACAGTAATGCAGTTAATGCACTGTAATATCTCATCACGTCTTTGTACGTGGGTAGCTGATTTTCACCCAGTTCTTAGGAAGCACAAAAAATAGCACAATTTGTGGCACCTTGGGTATTATTGGAAATTTCCAATTTTCTGCAGAACAATAATTAAGAAACAACGATAAAGTAAATGTTGCGAATTGTCAACTGTAACTCAGACGTACTGATTAATAAATCGAGGCAGGTACGCGATAGTCGTTGAGAGTTGACAGGCAACGCATGTGGAGTCATCCATGACGTGGAAGCCACATTTACAGATATGTTTGGGTCTGTCGCCACCTGTTGGAAAATTAGATGAAATTCGGTATCATTGAAGTTCTCGTCATGAGATGCCGCAAATATTCATATTTTAGATCGAATGATACACTACCCGCGGTATAATGCATCTGCTCTACACTTATCCCTCCACAAGGGAAGTTGGTATCTTAGCTTGCATGTGATTTGTGATTATATTCAATATAGTTGGAGCACTAAACTACATTTCAGGTTTTTTATTTTACGATAGGAATATTTGAGCTAAAGTACGACTTTGATGTAATTTTTTCAAAATTCAGAGGCTTTGCCGCAGCGTTAGTCCATAAACAGGCCTCACTTTGCCCACTATTACAAATCAAAGCAGGAAACAATTGAATCAGCGTATGCAGAAACGACACATGTCCATTTTTGTAAAAAATGGGGTTATACCGGGAATCACAAATATAGAGATATTTACGTCGAACTACGAAGAAATAACACGTGTCCGTGTTATAATTCAAGAGAAAACGATGTGTAGCTTGGACAATAGTCTGCAGAAACAGCACATGTCCAGGACATGTGCTGTTTCTGCGGAACAGATTATGTCGGTAGCGGTCTTCTTGGTCATGCGCATCTACCGCAAATGATTTTCTCCTTGTCTAATCGCTTGCATCAAAAAATGTGAGAGAACCTTATTTTGGTAAAAAATAGAATTTGCTTATTTTATTTTTTGCTGATCTCGTCAGTAGTTGTTTTGTGGTCCACTGTAGTGTTTACTAGTACGCGATGGATTCCTCTGAAAACGAAAGTTCTTCCCATCGAAAGAAGAGGGCAAATCCTGTTAGCTACCAAAGAAGCATTATTAAAAAGGCACGTGTAAAAGGCGAACCTTACAAGGGTAATAATATTCCTGGCAAAATACTTGGCTCCGCATGCAGGTAACTCTAGAACGGCTTTTTATTTCTGTTTGGCTTCTGAAAAATGTTTTATCTTTTAGCTCTCGAGCGAAATGTTTTGAAAAATTCTCCAACGAAGAACTGCAATCAAATATGGTGCGCTTTATTTCTCTTGAATCTAAGGATCAACAGGACATATTTCTGCAAAGACTGATAGAGGTTCGAAGTATACAGCGGCGGCGCGCTAGGGTTGAGGTGGGAACTAAAGCAAAATCCAATACCTTTAAATACTACACATTCAAAGATTCAGACAAGATTGAAGTTTGTTTGAAAGCATTTATCTCAGTCTATGGTATAACTTTGGGTCGAGTTAGAAGACTTAAAGATCTTGCCGTGCTAGGAAAATCCCCTAGATACTTACGTGGAAAAAATCCAAGTGGTAATAAACTCGGCGAAGAAGTTCAGTTTGCTGTTCGAGAACACATTCAGTCGTTTCCCGTTAAATTAAGCCATTATGCAAATCGAGAAGTTAAGTACTTAAATAGTGAGCTGAATTTAAAGATTATGTACGACTTATTTAAGGAAAAATACCCCACATTGAAAGTCAGCTACCCATATTACACGAAGTATTTTCGAGAAAATTTTTCTTTGAGATTCGGACGCCCTCAAGTTGATATGTGTGCAACATGCGAGACTTTAGGCAACAAAATAAAAAACATGCGCTTAAATGATACTGCCAAACGAACAGCAGTTGCAGAGCTGCTAGTCCATAAACGGCGAACTAAAAAATTTTATACAAAACTAAAAAGCGAGTCTAATTTAAAAAATATTCTAGCTTTAGCTTTCGACTTTATGCAAAATGTTCAGCTGCCAAAAACACCTGTAGGTGATGTTTTTTATTACCAGCAACTGACCATTTCGGTGTTTTGTGTACATAATATTAAGGAAAAGACTGCACGAATGTATATATATCACGAAGGGCAAGCGAAGAAAACTGCCAACGAGATTTGCTCTTTTCTTTTGGATTACCTTAAGTATGTTCCCAGAAATAATATAAATGAGATCCACTTATACAGTGACAACTGCTGGGGACAAAATAAGAATCACACTTTGGTTCGCATGCTTCTTGCACTGACAGATAGTGGCCAGTTTTCCAAAATCGTACACTATTTTCCCATAAGAGGTCACTCTTACCTTCCCTGCGATAGAGACTTTGCTATTGTTAAGAGAAAACTAAAAAAACATGACAGAATCTCCACGGTTCATCAACTAACCGAATTGATTGTAATGAGCAGCAAGTCGAATAAATTTACAGTTAAAGAAGTAAAAACAGAAGATGTTATAAACTTTAAAGAGTGGTGGCCAAAACTATACAAAAAAAAAGGTAATATCTGAGGAAACTTCTTCCAATATTACACCACGTAAGTTCAAGGTCCATTTCAATATAAGTACCTATTCACAATTTAGTTACGACACACAAAGAAAGGGTCGAGTCGAGGCTTCGCAATTCATAGACGGAGCTTTCCACCACACATTCAAACTCCAACAGTCAGGGAAGACTGCAGTAGCATTACCTTCTCAACAGGCCTATCCATTGGGAAAAGTCCCTATAAAGATGACAAAAATGGAACACATAAGAAAATGTGCAGCGTTTGTAGAAGATGAATATCAAGAATTCTATACTTCAATACTTAGTTGGCCAACTACTTCCAATTAGAAATTGTTGTGTTTTTTTTTCAATTTGTAATAAATAATCACGTTCCATTAGACAAAAGTATTTCAATTTCATCCTACGCTATGCAGAAAGCGCACATGTCCAATTCTTTAGAAGGCTGTACAAAGTTTTTCTTTTTATTTTGAACAAAATTAAATATTAGAAGATATTACAGCCGCCTTAAACTATGATTTCCAACCGTTGAACACAGGGCGCATTTATTTCAACAAATAATATAATGTTTTTTCCGTTTCCTCGAAAATCACTTTTTTGGACATGTGTCGTTTCTGCAAACGCCGATTCAATTATTTTCGACCCATCCTAATATGCATGTACAGCGAAAATGGGAAGTTGTCTATTAGAAAAACTATATAAGATATTTGAAGACGGTCTGCGCAAGGTTGGAAATATACAGGATTTTCCTCAATTCCGTGACAGAACAGGCTTCTATATTCAATGGAACACCCTTTATTATATGCGGGATTTTGACCGTAACTTGTTTAGTGATTAGATTATTTGTCTGGAGAAATGCTCATACTTGAAGAAGTTGACTTCTGCCATTTTGCGTAGCTTTTCACTGAGCTAGTTTTTGTAAAATGGTGCACGCAGGCAGGGGCTCAGGCACCAACCCGTAAGATCTGCAATACAAAACATTTCTGGGCATTGCGTCCATTGATACCTCTTATTAGCAAAACACGAAATATCACTTCAAAATTGACTGGTTGTCAGATCCAGAATGTTCTGTGCCTAGTACTTCAAGTGCTAAGTACCATATTTGGACCACTTCTTGATACGTAGGCAAGGTGCTACCCACCACGACTAAATACAATGCACACTATCATTGTGGTTTCTCAGCTGTCTTACATTTCAAATGAGAAGGGTGGATATACTGTACCAATGCATTCATTGAGCTTTTTCGGCTGAGAGTAGCTGGGAAAGCCTTCACTTGACAAAGAAAACAGAGTAACCTACCTCAACAATTTTTTTATCAGAGCCTATGTGATTGACCAGCAAATCAGATAGATTCCTTATTTCTTCATCGCCTGTACAATTCGCCCCATTGTCGTTTTCTGTCATAGCTGGACACTGTTCCAGACCAGAACTTGTACACTTGATTACAACAATGGTTAAACACGTTGTGCGAGAGATTGAGTGGATACTGTCTGATTAATGTACATTAGCAACATCAGTGGCGTAATGATTAATTTTGAGTTATGTTTATGTAGAGGTAAACGATTCATTGTAAAAATCACAGACAGTTCGCTGATATGAGAAGGTCTGCAGACTGTTGGTACAAAGAGTGTCACTAGTCGGGTAGAACTCCTCTGAACCAAATATGGGCAGCGTAGGTTTTCCAGGTTGGGCAATCTGTAACCGAATTGGCTATTTTTGATATGCTTACACGACTTTATTTTTCTGTAATTTCGAATATTTTTGGTGTCACTGGAGTTTCCATTTTACGTATGTTGATGCTAGATAGAAAACTTGCCGTTTTTGCTGTTTTAGCGTCAAAGTACATAAACTTGACTAGTTTTAACATTTCATATCAGTACGCGGCAAAACTTTTCTGTCGGCTCTTGGACTACTACTGGCTCACAAATAAAAAGAGCGATATACAGGGTGACTTTGAAGTTGAGTCATTAATTTTCAGATAATGATTGTAGAAGGAAGATAAACCAAAATATGTGTGTAAAAATAAAAAAAAAAATAAAAAAAATTTTACCTTGTTTTATAAAGTATCCTCCCGAAAAGTATTTTCGTGCGGACCTGTATTTGATCGTGAGGTCTTGGAGCACCGGCATGCCCTCCCCTGTGAGGTCTTAAGTCACCTGATTCACGTTGCCAAACACGAGCACATAATATTATTATTGGGACAGGGCGGTACTCAAACTTCTAAAGGGCTATCACTTTGTTACTTTAATTTTACCACAAAAATGTTAAAGGAAAAAACCATTTCTTTTGATCAGATCTACTCACTGTTAAAATAAATGACTCAACTTCGAAGTCACCCGGTATGTGTGGATCTTAGCAACCGGCGCTGCGTTGCCAAGCGGCCGACAAACATTTTTAAAAGGTTGCATTTATACTAAGCTGGATGGAGTTCAGCCATAAGAAAAACTCCTACCACGTAGTAGTCATAAAATTGACAAGCTATTTTTAAAAAACGCTACGCGTAAGACAAACATCATCCATGTTTACTTTTACTGGCACATTAAAAACAAGTGCAAATAACAATCTTCGTTGAGCGAGTCGAAACGCTTTGCGTTAATCGCTAACTAATCGCCTCCATTGCCTATTATACAGGGTGTCCTCAAAGTTGGGACTCTCCTGTACACGGTATATAGATCTTAAAGAATGAGCCGATTTTCTAGTAACATTCACACAAAACTATTGAGATTATCTAGATGTGAAGTTACGCAAAATCAATTGAACCTAAACTAAACCTATCAGGTTGGAATGTCGATCAGATCAAAGGTGATCACGCCGATTGGTGAACAAAACCTTTACACATCGGTTCTAAAAACAAAACAACAATTACACACTCACACAGCAATATCAGAGTTGTCCATACTATTTTCATTCACGGTGAGTGTCTTCAAGATGCTACCGAGGCTTTGCGAGTGCATGAAGATAGTTTTTCCAGATTCTTCGTGATTTCTTTTTTTGTTTGGGGCGAAATGAACTGTTTATAAAACTGAGGTAAACACGGTTGACAAACTACGATTGCGAGTTTACCTCCATTCATTCGGAAAAGGCAGTCCATTCTGAAAGCCTACACCGAAGCACATACATGTAATTTGAATTTATCTCACAACTTTGAACAATGTTTACAGGTGACCGAGCTGTACTTGAAATTTATTTTCGATGAACGGTGAGTACTTTGTCACTTATTTCTTTTTACTGCTGAATTCCAGCAAGTCAAAACGAACGGTTCTCAGGTAGAGCAAGCTTATCTTACAAATATTTAGCATAAAGTGAAATGGATGGATGATACGCTACTGTATCATGACATTATAAGATCCTATAATTACGGCGTTTTGTTATTATTGTTGTGGTGTGAGTGCATCAGTAAATAATGCCGCGACAGATGAGTTATGGCTAATTTCTAGGACACAGCGTGACATTGTATTGTTGGTTTATAATGATTATTTAAAATTTGACGTCGGTCGATATGCAATTAAAAGAGAAAATTAGAGAATATAAAAATTAGATAGTGGGTATAAATACAGACATGTCGTTTGTTGCTATTTGGACCAATCGACTTGATTCGTTTAAAATTCAAAATGGAAGCTCTGTAGCGGCTTATTCGTGTTTACGCCTTCAAGGAATCACATAGGAAGTGGCATTCCTTCATTTGTTAACATTTTCCAATTTGCTGTTCTCGTCAGTCAAAAGATATCAATATCTGAGTCCACTATTCCCAAAAGTGGCTAAATCCAAAATTGATAGTATTAAGAAAAACGCTAAAAACTGTAACTATATGCGAGTCTTTGAATCCATAATATCGTAATATTAATGTACATATAAAACATATTTTTTGGCTCATGTCTGTATGATAAGGGCGGGGCGTAGGGATGGATCTACCCAAGTTTCAATGTCAACTCTGGATTTACCCGGTAATGAAACAAAATTCGTGTGAATTATTTTCTGATGTATTAACAAATAGATCACTAATATAACAGAAAGAAACAAAAAAGAAAATCGTACATTCTCTCTCGCAAACTGTTTTGAATACATTAACCTTAAAGCTCAACTTAAAAAGTAAAAGATCCTTTTTGTTAAAAACGAATTTACAAAAAATCATACATCAGCTTGAAAACTACACCCAGTATTAGTAAAGCACGCACTATTCTTATCGGCATTTTCTTCTGCTTGTGTTAAACTTTGTTGATTATCCATTACAGTCTTATAGTATTCTCATTCGAATTCTTTACTTTTTTCCTTCCTCGCCGTGGCAAACACACGTTGACGGGACTTTGCCGGTTTTATTCATGAACAAGAGCATCATAGTAGAAGTAACATCGGATTTAGCCAGTTGTGGTAAAACTAAGGACATAGCCACTTTTGTAATGAAACTCGCATCAGCTTTAGCCAGATTTGAAAATAAGTCTGAAATAGTAAGCTGATTTATATGGATCTTGCAACAATTTGGAAGCGAAGATGTATTACAGTCGTAGGTGGTAGAGGGTCTCTGACTGCCGAACGCGGAGGTACCACCCGGCGGATCTCGTAGGCGGGGCCAGAATGTGTGCATGTTGCATGCACACGTGTTCCCTCGCCAGAGTCCGTGTGGCGTTCCCCTTTTCCCCTGTATCCCCCTATAGCCCCTCGGTACCCCATGGATATTTAGACCGTAGGCCTTCGTGGTAGTTGGACTATAAAAAAGTATATTACTACAACTTTTGACTATGAGATGACAGCACCCACAACATTTTTCGTAAATATGGATTTAGCCGCTTTTGGAAATAGGGGAGTGATCTAACAAACAGCTGTTTGCTAGAGACGCGATCTGTTTATGCTAAGCTTGTCCTTGCTAGGCTCTTATCGAATAAAATGTATGTTAGGAGAAAGCTGGACTTGATCTCTGAATTTTTTGACGGAGACGTATAGAAGGTATGCTGAAACCGAGAAAAAGCGTCCAAGGTTTGTACCTATTCGTCTCTGCAAGTGCGTCAAACGAATATGTAGAATTTTAAGAAAACAAGTGTATGATACGGTCAAGAAACCTTGCCAATGAGTAGAGAAAATGGCATCAACTTACTAGGTACCTATCAATAAACACATATGCCTGAAAATTGCATATTATCAAATTGTGCTGAGCACGACAGTATGCTAGTAGATCAGTTTTTCTCCAGAGGATGGTTTGCGAGTAAAAGCTGTTTATATGAAAAATATGGTAACTAACATTATTCAGTGGATTAGAGTGCCCAGGGAAATAAATAAACGCAACACAGTATACTGCTTGGTTCACACCTTATTCTCGGGACTTATTTCACTTAGTTGTGATGCATGAGCTGAGTTTTGACTTACGTCTGAAAAGGAAGATTTTGTAAGTGTATTAATTATTCTTTCTTTTTATGTCCATCTTTATATCAGATGTTCTGTATTTACATAGTCTTTATGTTCCTCAGCTTAGTAGAGCAGAAATCTGGGTTGAAGGTAAAAAAATACCAATCATCAGTGTGACAATTTTTCAACGTTCATGAATGTTTGTTCAATAGAATGAGAAAACGATAACTTTTTACATTGATCAGGAGTTTTTTAGAAATATTTGAAGAAAGCAACGTTAGTCCACGAGTGACATATGGATGACGCTTCGTTGTTTACAATTTGTATGACCTAACATCATGGTCGATAGTATTTTTGATGTTTAATATTAAAAATAAAAAAAAATATATTTTTTTTAAATTGGCCAAAAAAAAGCTCATTTATTTTATGAAATTATACAAGCCTGTCAATATGCTGCTAGAGAATTTTGACATCTGTTTGTGCGAAATACTTATTGTTGTCTAGGATGGTGAGCCGCTAGTCGATCAATACTACTTGCAGTAATAAATATATATTCCAACAATCTTAAGTAACAAACAAATATAACGTCTTATTGCGCTGCGTTGAATCGGTTCAGAGCATTGGCGTCTTGGCGTCGTGTCATCTTCCCCCAGCCACCGTCGATCTGCCGGTCAGCAGCGACAGACATAGAGTGGGACTGCACGGCCATCCTGACGTCACGTTCGTCCCGAACGTCTGAAAATATTAAGTTATTTAGGAAACACCTATACCTATTGCCATCAACACCATTTGCTATCGAGGACGACCATTCGTCATCGAGAGCAAAACTTGCCATTGAGGGCGTAACAGTTGCCATCGAGAGCAGAACAGATGCCATTGAGGGCGTAACATTTGCCATTGAGAGCAGAACAATGCCATTGATGGCGTAACATTTGCCATTGAGAGCAGAACAGATGCCATTGAGGGCGTAACATTTGCCATTGAGAGCAGAACAGATGCCATTGAGGGCGTAACATTTGCCATTGAGAGCAGAACAGATGCCATTGAGGGCGTAACATTTGCCATTGAGAGCAGAACAGATGCCATTGAGGGCGTAACATTTGCCATTGAGAGCAGAACAGATGCCATTGAGGGCGTAACATTTGCCATTGAGAGCAGAACAGATGCCATTGAGGGCGTAACATTTGAGTAGTTCCTTATTCACCTTATTGATTTTGAACTTTGAAGGGTTTCATGTGTTCCACACCTACCACAGCTTGATATGGTCGCCTTGACCTCTGTGTGAAACGATCTTCTTGCACTCTATACCTGTCATTGGGTAGAACCTCAACTATCTTGAATGGTCCTCTAAACTTAGGACGTAACTTTTTACTGTCTTCATTCGCTGAAAAGCTGGTTACTTTAGTTAATACCACATCTCCCACCTGGTACAACCTAGGTAGAGAACGTTTAGTGTTAAATTTTAAATCTTGTTCGATTCTATTGTGTTCCAGACGTTTGGCTGTCTCTTTTCGGATTTTTGTAACATCTAGAGTTGTTTCCATATCGTCATCAGGGTATTTGTCACTATCAGTCCGTAGTTGGAAACCAAACATTACTTCTGCGGGCGTGTTTTGTGTAATACGGTGTCTAGTACTATTCAGTCCTTGTTGTATATGTGAAAGATTAGTATCCCAATTGTCTTCACTTGTTTGCGAACCAGATGTTGCTAAAGCGTCTAGAACTGTTCTGTTCGTCCGCTCACATTGACCATTGCCTCTTGGGAGACCAACAGCTGTTGTAAATAACCGTATCCCTCTTGCAGCAACAAATTCCTCGAAGGCCTTTGAAGTAAACGCAGATCCAAGATCCGTGATGAGTCGTCTTGGGTTACCGAGCATCGCGAACATTTCAGTTAACATTTGAATTACGTATTTTGCAGATGTATCAGGAACTGCTTTTAAATACACAAATTTCGAAAAGCCATCAACAACAACTATTAAATACTTGTTTCCCTGTTTTGTGTTCACAAAAGGTCCTAAATGATCTATATGTAGTGTGTGGTGTGGTCTAGCATACTTTGGGATGGAGTGAAGGTACCCGGGTCTTTTGCCCCCTTTATCTTTATGATATAAACAAGGTAAACATGCATTTATGTATTTTGTTATGAAATGCCTCATTCTGGGAAACCAATACCGTTGCTTAATTTTCTCTAACGTTTTATCAACCGCAAAATGACCTATATCGTCATGGTTTGCTTTGACGATTTGCCATCTACACTTCTTTGGGACTACCCATCTTCTCCCATAAGGTGTTAACTTATAGACTTTGTTCCCCCTTAAATCGTAATTATTAAAAACATCTTTGTGACTCTGAACATCCCCACTTAAAAGAATATTTTTAATTTCCACTATGGATTCATCTTGATCCTGTGCTTCCCTGAGATAGTCATCTTCTTGGATGAGTAGGACTTGTGCTTTGTTTTGAGATTCATTAAAGTTTCGGCTAAGTGCGTCTACATGTTGCATCTGAGTACCTGCTTTATGGTGAATGGTAAAAGAAAACTCTTGTAAGGACAAGACCCATCTAGCAATTCTTGGAATTATCGACTGCTTAGATAATGCGTTCTTTACCGCATTGCAATCAGTAAAAATTTGGAACTGATAGCCTACTAAATAAAATCTGAACCGTTCCAAAGTTTTGACTATTGCTAATAGTTCCAACTCAAAAGAATGATAATTTTTCTCAGCGGTATTAGTTTGTCTACTGAAATACGCTATTGGTCTCTCTTTACCATCTGTACTTTGCATCAAAATTCCTGCAAAACCATCACGACTAGCATCCGTATATACGGTTGTCAGTGCTTTTGGATTAAATATTGCCAAAATAGGTTCTGCACAAATTTTGGCTTTTAAATCTTTGACTATTTGTGTGTGAACTTCTGTCCAAGACCACCGACTTCCTTTCTTTAATAGCTTCGTCAATGGGGCGGTAATTCGCGCAAAATCTTTTAAGAACTTCCGAAAATAGCCGACGAGACCCAAGAACTGTCTCAGTTGATGTTGTGTCTTAGGACAAGGAAATTGTTCCACCGCTTCAATTTTCAGGTTGGATGGTGATATTTGATTGTATGAGATTTGATATCCTAGATAAACTATCTTCTCTGTAAGAAAAGAACACTTTTCGATTTTTATTACAATACCATACTCCTGTACAATTTTCAGTACCTTAGGCAATAAATCTAACCCCTCCTCTATAGTCTTTGACGGTATTAAGATGTCGTCCAAATAAGGAACCACATTAAATTTTCTTAAAGGCATAAGGATTTCATTCATAAATTTCTGAAATACCAATGGGGCATTACAAAGCCCAAACGGCATACGAACGTACTCAAAATGCCCTTCAGGTGTTATGAACGCTGTATACTTCATTGAAGCAGGCTCCATCGGTATTTGATGGTAACCTGATGCTAGGTCAAGCGAGGTAAAATACTTGTAATCACTCAAATTATCAATAATTTCTTCGATTAATGGCATTGGAAAATTATTTTTAACAGTTATTTTGTTTAGCGCCCTGTAATCGACAACTAGTCGTTTGTCATTAGTTCCTTTATTGACCAGAAGAGCAGGACTGGCATATGGTGAATTACTTTCACGTATGATTTTAGCCTCCAAAAGTTCCTGTACCTTACCTCTCATGATTTGTTTTTCTATCTCTGCTAATCGATAGGCCTTATGAGTGACTGGTTTGTCATTGACCAACTCTATTTTTAATGAAACAGAGTGTGCCTTCCCCAAATTATTCAAATTCAAAAATATACAACCTTGATATTGAATTAGAATATCCTGCAGAGTCTTATTATCTTGTTCTGACAACACCCCTGTTTTGACATTTTGCAACCACTGTGGCTTTTTGTCCTTTATTTTGAATATCAACTTGTCATCTATACGATAATACATAATAGTATTATTTTCTGTGAAATTTCTCCCAACAAGAACATCATTGTCTACACTTTCATTAGAAACCACATAAAATTTTGTATTAAGTTTCACCTGATCAATTTGGGTCATTACCTCAACAAATTGCGTAACAACAGTCCCTATACCCATAAATCCTGACAATGTTACCTTCTCCCCAAGAGGTTTCAACGTTAACCCTAGCTCCTGCACTATTGCCAATTTTATTAGAGAACAATCACTACCAAAATCCACAAAAGCTTCTATTAAATTCCCATCAAGAAATATTTTTTTGAAAAATTTTGAAGCACTATTCTGACTTTTAATTAATTTGACCTGTTCAATTTTTTGTTTTACTTTTGAAGACTTAGTTGAATTATCCCATCTGCCTGGTTCACTTGAGTTCTTTCGTTTCTTGAAACAATTCACCTCAATATGCCCCTTAATTCTGCAAAAATTGCATATCTTATTTCTATGTTTACAATCATTCCGCTCGTGACCTCTGTTGCCACATGTGGTGCAATTTACATTTTGATGTATCGTACTTGACCGGACTATATTGTCAGATGCTCCCAATCGACCACTTTGATTGATTGACTGTTGCACCTCTGATTTTAACGGTTTGCCCCTACCAGTATAAGTTTTGTTCTTCAGATATGCCGCCAAAATATGAGGATTTCGAATATTTGCTGCCTCCACAGCTGATGTTATATTAACGTCATTTATAGCACCTATAATTAATGATACCTTGTCACAATCTGAAAATCCTACTCGTAACTTATTTATTCTCGCTATGTGTTCAAAACAAAAATCATATAACGAACAACCTTCGCTGGGTCTATGATTTACCATTTCCATCAACAGTTGATAAGCATTACGTGTACTCTGGAATGTATTTTTCAATATATCCTCCCACTGGCCCCAAGCATAACTAGACCACCCCAAGTCACCCTGAATGAAACTGTCATACCAGGTTTTGGCTGTACCCTTGAGTTTATTCAAAGCATGACACTTAATAAGGCTATCAGGCCACTTGTAAATATCTGCATTATATTTGATAACCTCTAACCACTCTGATATGTCATTAATTTTCGGATCAAATTCTGGAATTACCATCGAAATATGTATTCCCTGATCGGCCCTCGTAAAAGTAGAATAATGTTCGCTACTCACGGTTTCCCTTGACTTACACCTGGATCTCTTATGTTTATGCCCATTACTATTGCTAGAACTGCCGGAAGAACTACTGGTTGTTGAAGACGAGGAAGGTTCTCCTCTACTTCGTTTTCTGGATTTCCTTTGCTTTTGCTTTGGCATCTTGTCCAATCTCTGAGCAAACAACAGCCTGCAGAATATTTGCTAAAATTGGGAACCACCGTAAAACACACACTTCTGATGTTGTCTAGGATGGTGAGCCGCTAGTCGATCAATACTACTTGCAGTAATAAATATATATTCCAACAATCTTAAGTAACAAACAAATATAACGTCTTATTGCGCTGCGTTGAATCGGTTCAGAGCATTGGCGTCTTGGCGTCGTGTCATCTTCCCCCAGCCACCGTCGATCTGCCGGTCAGCAGCGACAGACATAGAGTGGGACTGCATTATGGAAAAACGTGTTATTTACTTGATGTTCCAGTCTCATTTGGCGTCAAGTTTTTCAGTCTCTATTAGTCCAGGAAGTATCCATATACACCTCATTGATATTTTTGTTTTGATCTTAGAACACATTCGAACATACAACTGATTCATGTACAGGCATTGTCCTTCTGTGGATTGACACATTCATTTACCGATTCTATGATGTTATTGTTCTTATATAATGGAGCAAGTAAATGTCTACCACGTCTACCCGTTCAGAAGAATATTGCGATTCGTCTTTTTATAGCCTTATTTACTATTCTTAACAAATATGCATACTGGCATTCCCAAAATCGCGTCAAAAAGTGCTTCGATAATGCTTTAAATAAATATTTTTTTTTTGCTTCAGACAGTTTTTTACTTCCCATGCCACTGGCGAGGAAGTTATAGTACCTGTCGAAAAATTTCGGAAATATATATTTATATTCTGTACGTTATATGACACGTACATCACGAAACACCATGCTACTTGTTTCCGTCGGTCTATTCGTCAGTTTGTCCGCTGATCGTTGGTGCGTCTGTAACTTGGAAAGTACCGCTCGGAATTGAACAAAATTTTCACACAAGGTTACTCCTAGCAAGGCACCAAAAAGCTTCGTAGTTTCTGAAAGTAGGGGCAAAAGACGATACAAAAAATCGCTCTAACTACTAACTTAATTTTTTTGGCGTTTCAGAGGCTCAACGTCATCCCTTTAGCACATGGGATCATTTTGGACAAATAAGCTTTTATGAACTTTTGACAAAGTTTAGAGCTTTCGAGATATCGAGTGTGTAGGGATGGCTAACTAATAATGTAACCAGGCTTAAGAAAGACCGTAAGATGGGTGCTCTTGTCGCTCTGCATCAGCAAACCTTCTGGTCCCTAGTTGATTCCTGTCATTTTACTGGAGGGATATGCAGCGAAGCTTGCACCAGTTCTTTTGGGTGTCTGTTAGATATCTTACGAATCCGGCATATTCCTTCATGTTTAGTCCATTCTAAAAAGAGGATCTAAGACCGAGCCTTCCAATTACAGACCTATACCTCTGCTAAGGTGTTGGAGATGTGCATAGATCAGGAGTTTCTGGAGTACCTTGAACGCCACGACGTTGGTGATCGGCTATGTCAACGGGCCTGGCTCCTCTGAGTTCTCCTTCAGATACACCATGCACCATGGACCATGGTCAACTTCGTACATACAGAGCTAGTCAATACGGCCACGCTCAAGGGTAGCCAGATTGTGGAACAGTCTATATGAGGATAATTTTCTTAGTTCTACTAGCCTTAGGCTGTTCAAAAATCGCATCAATAACGTTTCTTTAAGCTCCTCATAGCAGGCGCAGTGCTCTACCTACGCGGTTGGTTCGGTATGAACAAAGTGCCGGGAAGTCCTATTTGAAGTAGAAAAATAAACCGATTGTGTCCACAGATTGGCGAAGTAGTAGAAGTGCAGGGCTTCCTCAAAATTGAATCGGTTATTTCAATATTCTCATATATCACACAGTTTGAATATTACAGGACACAAAGCACTATGTCACTGACGAATAAGCGATTTTATAAAAAACCACCACTTGATCCTCAGTAACGAGATGGCTTAGCCAGTTCAGCGTACAGCGAAACTGTAAAAGATGTAGACGGATCTGTGTTCGACAGGTAAGTTGATCTTTCTCCTCCAGGCTCAAAGAAGGGGAGCTCCGCATGCTGGCAGATATTCACATTTAAGCAAAGTACTCAGGAATACCCTATCGGAAGCTTTCATTGATAACTTGCTCTTTGGAGTAAGTTTGACCAAACCAGTTAAGTCTAAATCGAAATCAGATAAATATGGGCAGCAACTGAAGGCCAAAAGGCCGGACAACATCAGCTGTCACGGATTATTGCAGATGAGGTACGTAGATCAACAGGAAGATTGACGCGTATACATCATTGAAGGCAGAACCTTAGAACTGGCGCCATTCACAAGGCGACCGGTTCCGCACTCTGCCATTGCTGGATCTCATTAGTCCACATATGAGATACCGGCCTTCGAAACAAGAGTCTATCAATCGTTTAGCTGCGGTGCATCAGTAAAAAAGTTGAGCTGACTGCCTAACCAACGTTTTCTTGTCCCCAAGTCTGATGGGTCAGCACGTTTGATTCTTATTCACAATAGGAAAAGAATACTAAGTTAGAAGGTTATTGAACTGTCATCAGACATCTTAGCAAGTCTGGATTTGGAGTATGCTTTGGTACCCATCAGTGATAGAATATATTCCAGATTCATATTCAAGCGACAGCTCTTCCAATACAATGCTGTGGCGTTTAGGGCAAATTGTGCCCTCATGTATTCACAAAGTTAATAAAACCATTTCTGGTATATATTAAGGGAAAAGACACATTTCTGTCTGTATTTCCTTTTGGTCGGTTATAGTGATAGAGATTCCCTGGATAATATCCGGGCAACAGTAAATACCCCTTTTTTCCAATCAAATACAAAACAAGCTGCTTGACCTCCCGTCAAGATTGGGAAACTTTTAGGCTCGGTATTCAATTGTGATGGGAAGGAAGTATTTTTACTTGGGGTAATAATAGACAGCGACCAAGACAGAGTCCGAGACTTTGCGGTATGCATCGGGAACTTGGTGTCAACGAGTAAAATCTATTACCTGTAACATTCTCAAGGAAATTTTAACGCTACTATGCCACTAACGAATGCACCTAAGGTCTACCCTGGCTAAAAGAAGTTGGCAGATGCGGTCAGCGGTATTGGATCATCCAATTTTCAGTTGTATAATTTCTCGGGTTGGGATATTATACCCCAGTGATAATGCGACAACTATATCTTACAGTGGAGGGCTTCCAGTTTACACGCCTAGACTAGGCTGTGAGAGAGCTATGACAGTTGCACAAAGAGAGAAATCTTACTGCCCTGGCGTCAAATATATAATCTAGGAGATCAGCTTTTGCATCAGTGACACGTGGAAACGGAGTGGGAGCTCCACCTGTGCCTGATATTGGTTCATGTGTTCGGTATTCCTGAAATTTCGCTTCAAGAAGTAACGCAAGGACCCCGTTCCCACTAATTCTGAAGCTTACTTTCGTTGTCGTTGCTGGAAAGCTGTTATACCAATCAGCATCTACAATCCATCATATAATTGCGTTAAATATATGTCTGTTTTCTACCTTGATGACTAATACCTTGGAATGCCTCACCTTACAGTTTGTTAAGCGATTACGATATAATTTATGGTTTGATCAGCTATCATACTTTTACCCAAAATACTGCTAACGATGCAGGCATAAGATGGTTTTTTGAAAGACGTTTATAGGTTGAGACAATCTCAACCGAAATGTAACCCCACTTGAGATACTGTGGTTGTTCTCTACCAACTAGAGGGATTGCTATTGATCTCTGTAGATATTCTGCTAGCCTTAACCTCAGGTCAGAGTGTGCAATCTATGCCCCTAATTGAAACAGACAACATCCGGATCGGGTTGAATAATAATGAAATTGTTATTTCTCAGTTTTTGAAATCCTCGGGGTCATTCGTGTTCCAGTCAAAGTATTTATTCGACACTGTAAAGAAAGTTTATCATTGTGCCTCTGCTGCCACTATATGTAGATGGATAAACTCTGTTTCAGTAGAGAGCCCTAGGTGTGTCGCAATTGACAGCCCACAGTACATGAAAGCTCCCACCTCTGCACCGGTTGGACGTTAGATTATAGCACGCCCATACTCGCAGCGCTGGAGCGCGTTTTCTGAGACACCTCACAGATATCTTATGACAAACAATAACTTTGCATAACACAACTACATTATCACGTCACTTGCTTGTTACCATGTAAAATATAGTATTTTTATTTTAGAAGCGATGTACGTCGTATTACCTGTTGTTAAAAGCACTATACTATAACTATCTAAAACTGTAATGACTCATCGATGTTCACGTGAACATCACTTAACTACCAGTAGTCAGCTGTTCATAGGCGGGGTATGAATGTTTAACATGGGTGAACTACATTTGTCACATGCTTAATAAAGAGTGGTTTGAAACATATTGTAAGTCAAAAATTTGGGAATTACCTTTATTCATCGTCGCTTCCACTTACATCTGACTGTAATAAACTGTCGCTATCGCTTTCCTCGTTGAAATTGACTATAACTGGCTCTATGATGGTGTCGATGTGGTGGTCAAGCTGCCACATTTTTGTTTCTTCCTTCACAACATGACGGATAGCATTCTGCCAAGCTTCGGGCGTTACAAGCTGTATGGAAGTCTCAAGTAAAACCTTAACGTCTGGTAATTTGAAGGTTGTGTTATGGCGCGCAATATAACCCTTCACTTGGGTTCAGTTCACAGTGGTAGGGCGGTAACCGCAGCACAGTGACACCACATTGACGGGCCATCTCATCAGTCACGTAACTAATGTTCGCAGGTTTGTGCTGTTTAATTTTTTCATACAATTCCGCTTTCACACATGAATCGTCAAACGGGATTCCTTTTTCGCGCAACCATTGCTGCATGTACCACTTTTTCGAGATCCCATAGTCGGTACACGTTCGGCTCGACGACTATGGTAGGAAGCATTATCCATGACGATCACAGAGTTGGGCTCAACTCGCTGAAGCACCCCTTGAAACCAGCTCTCGAAGCAGCTGGCGTTCATTTCGTCATGGTAATCACCTCCTTTCTTAGAGACGAAAATCAAGTCACACTCTTCTAAAAAGCCACTATCGCTACCAAGTTACGATCAATCTTTGACCTTTCCCTGATGGTCCACGAAGACCTGTTGACAAACCTTCAATGCTTGCTTGTCGGTTACTCACTACGTTTTTGTCTATCGAGGTTATTTTAACTGTGTGACCTGCATTTACCCATCTCTCGTCCTAATAATAGATTTTTCTGCTTTGTCGCCTATATTCAATCATTTCGCGTAGGTATTTTCGACGCCAGGCGACTATTTCAGGTCTCTCTATCAATACTGACTTTCGATTACGCGTTTCGTAACGAAAATTAATTTCGTGCAGGGATTTCCTCATTACCTCGACGCTCATTTGGGGTATAATTTCATTTTCCTTGATCGCTGCATGTACAGCCTTGAGGGTTGGTAGCACATTCCTAAAGAAGAATAAATGTACGGTTCGCCTTAACGCCATTTTGCTATCGTCATCCAATTTAACGGCCTTTCGTCCCTTCAAATTAAACTTTGGATCAGTAGTAGCTCCAGTTTTCTTCTTTTCATGAACCACCCTGCGAATGGTCCACTCTGGAACGCCTGTCATACTTTCACAACGCGCGAGTGCATCTCCCTGCGGCATAGTTCTGTTCAGATAATTGAACACATTGAGCACGATTTCTTTCGCGCCCCTCTTCAGTGCTTTACGAAGCCGTCTACTTGTTCCCTGGCTTTCAGTACTTCCACTCGTGCCATTTGTACTCTCCATGGTTAAGACTAACCAAAACAGTAACCACAGAAACCACAACAATAACAATCTCACAACAATTCTTATAAAAACACACAATATGCGATCGCTCTACGAAACACGTTCCAATACGTTGCCGACGCCTATGAGTCTGCCGGTCGAGGCGCGTCTTTTATTTCATTGGTTCTACCGGCGGAGAACAATCAGCCATTATTTCCATCTCTGTCTGTGCTGTTGACCACCGCAAAGCCACAGAAACGACATATGTCGTACGCTATACGGCTGTACTGGAAGGAAGCCGGGATCGAGCTCTGATCACGTGTTGATCACGCGTATGAGTCATTACAGTTTTAAATATTTGTAGTATAGTTGTAGTTATTGTTGCTGTGTAGTTGTGTACAACCTATAACTTACTATTGCAGAGCTTCAGTACTATGTTCTCGCCTTGAGCATCCACACTTGTTCTACCTATCAACGACATGAGACCGTAACATAAATACGTGATCAAATGAACTTACCTGTAAGTGATGCTCGATCTTAATTAGGTGTAGGCATAGTCGGAGTAAATAGCTCTCTTCCTCTCTGTATATTACCCAATTGTTGCAACAACTTGGCTTTGAAGAAAATTTGAGTTTGTAGGCCAACGGCCTGAGTGGAGGAAGGTGGGAGGGCGCGGTGTTTCGCTTTGCTTCGCTGCGTACGCGTTTTGAACTCGTGGATTGGCCGGGAAATTGGAGACTATACATGTTCTATTTACTTCGACGAGGCCTCCACATAACTAAGATCAAACGTCACTTACAGGTAAGTTGTTTTGATCATGTAATTATAAATGTGACGTGTAATATAGAACGACACCTGCTTGACAGTAATTTCTCGAAGATACCAAGCCAACTTAGTTGACCCCGCTATATTTAATAGGCCGTGCATATTTGCTGTATGCTTTTTTGAATAGGGACACTCATGAGAGAAAACAAATATATTTTTCAATTGCTATATAATTATTAAATTATTAGTAAAGCCATCCTCTCCTGTCACATTCTAACGTCATATACCAAGCTCTTCTTCTAGCTGTATCATTTATATATTTTCTCATCTGCTCAGGATGAAACGAGTGTTCAGTTAAATCAGACGTTCTCTTCTTTCCCTGTACAACTATCGTCGAAAAGAATAAGGCGTGCCCAAACTCAAACTCAGCTTCCAGTTTCATCTCTTCCAAGAATGCATCAAATCCAAACTCGCTAGTGTCACATTTCAACATATCAAGAACGGATATGAAATGTTCGTGATAGAATTTCAAAAGAGAATCTAAACATCGCTCCAAGACTTCTAACTGAACGCTTGAGAAGAGAAAGAAGAACACGTCAGATGCTGCAGATCTGTAGTTGTAGATCTGGAAGTCAACAAGTTTATTGCTGATAGGTACACCGTCTACGAATTTTTGCATCATGTTGTTCACCCACAGATCACAGTGCGCTAATGTGGCAAAAGGTTCTCTAGGCTCCCGTTCATGTTCTCTCTCTCCCCAATATCTTATCTTTGATGCCAATGGTTTACATTTTTCGTTTTCTTCAAGGACTTCTTTTAGTATGGCTAGCAATGGCTGAAAGACTTCTTTCGTTGGAACGAAGTCACTGCAGAATGCCTTTAATCTTTTCTGGAATACCTCTGGCTTCTTGAGCTTAAGTGCAATGGTGGTTGCGTGGAAATTTGCAATATCTTTTAAGATCAGCCTTGTTGTGGACAAATCAAAGCATAGTAGCCTCTCCACGTTTTTGTGCCCTGAAAACATAAAATCAATACTTATATATTACAGTGCTTTTAGAAAGGTACCATCTACTTTTCTTTGAGCAGCTTTTATTTAGCCCGCTGAAAATCGGAGTGATAAGCTTAATGCATGGATACTATATTTTAGCTTAAGAGCGGTAGTTTTGAATTTCAAAATGGCGGATAGGCGCCCTGAATCATTTCTTCAAGTGGAATGGAACTCACATGACATTTGATTTTAAACTTCCTCCTGAGTGTTGTATGAGCCTAAATTATGAACCCACTATCTTTTAAAAAGGCTGAGAAATCAGGTTGTCAAAGTTAAGTATTTTTGTACATCGAATTGCGTATAACTTGAGTACAATTCATGAAATGCTATTATGTTACATCAATTTTATCCTCTTGGAATAGTCTATCCTAGTATACAATATGCTACATAATATCTTATTTAAAACAAAAAGTCAAAACCTGTCATTTTTCCTTAATAGAATGTCATATATTTATATATATACAGGGTGACTTCGAAGTTGAGTCATTTATTTTAACAGTGAGTAGATCTGATCAAAAGAAATGTTTTTTTCCTTTACCATTTTTCTGGTAAAATTAAAGTAACAAAGTTATAGCCCTTTGGAAGTTTGAGTACCGCCCTGTCTCAATGTGCTCGTGTTTCTCGACAACGGATATAATCCGTCGTATCGGTTCATCGCATCGGAAACAAAAAAGCGAAAGAATTTGGAACGAATTATTTCATTCATTTGTATACAGTAAGTGTCAGTGAATAGTTGTATCTGTTGCGTGGCTCAAACGAAATAAATCGGTTTCCCAATCGAGTGCAACCAACCCCTCGTGCCTTTGTTAATGTAGTACAACGGGCTCGTGAATCAGGTGACTTAAGACCTCACAGGGGACCTCACGATCAAATACAGGTCCGCACTGAAATACTTGTCGGGAGGATACTTTATTAAACAAGGTAAAAATTTTTTTTTATTTTTTTTTTATTTTTACACACATATTTTGGTTTATCTTCCTTCTACAATCATTATCTGAAAATTAATGACTCAACTTCAAAGTCACCCTGTATATATTTATATATATATATATATATATACTTCGACAAAATTTAAGCAAGGAGGACTCTTTATACTTTTTTAATCTCTCTAGCTTTCAATGGTATTTGCCATCATCATCAGGAGCTGCAAATACATTGATAAAAGCAGCAAAAATTGTGCAAAATGAATAAATTAACTTACAGTAGTATGTGAGGATGTTGCTAAATTTTATTTACGTTAACGATGAGGGAATCACCCAGTACCATGGTGAAAGCTGGATACATGGTACAATGGTCAAAATTATACAAACTACACACAGCTGTATGACAAGAACAAATTAAGAACAGATTAAAAATATTTAAAACGAAAGTTGAGCATTACATCGTGAAGCCACTTGATGATTGCACAAAATGGTGGGCATAGAATAATGAGTAAGATGAACCTTTTGACATATGGCCGAAGGTTAGCAGTGTCTGTGTAGAATGATGGAACAAAAATTCTTTTGTAAGGCGTGTGCTACGTTGCCAGATCACTTCAGATGGTGTGATTTTCAAGATGTGTCGGGTAAGACCTTGTCAACCCGACCAGAGGCAGTTGAATTAACTGCAGGGTGCGGCAGAGAGGGTGAACGGTTTTAAAAACATCATAAAATAGTTAATTTTATCTCGAAAACAAATTTATTGATGGAATCAGGTTCACACGGAAATAGCAGTTGAGGCAGTCAAGTGTGGAAAATCACATCAGACATGTGGTGGCCGAAATCGTTGATCCTGCTGGAACCACACACATCGGATTGGAACACGTCGCCGTCGTAATTCAGTGAGAAAGAAGTTGGTGATCATGTCGACGTAGCGCTCTGAGTTCACGGTAACATCACTACCATTACCGTCTTCGAAGAAGTAAGGGCCAATGATGCAAGTTTGCGATACAGCGGAACAAACCGTTACTTTTGGGCTGTGTAGCGGTCTTTCGTGTAACTGTTTCGGATTTTCATTAGCCCAATAACGACAATTCTGCTGGTTGACCATGCGTTTAGGTAAAAGTGGGCTTCGTCACTCATAAACAAAATGAGCTTCTCATTTTGATCGATCAGTGCTTCCATCTCACGTGCGAAGTTCATTCGTTGTGCATAATCTCCGGGCTGTAACTGTTGCACAATGGCCAATTTGTAGGGGTGAAAGCGAAGATCCATATGCAAAATTCGCCTTACCGAACGATCACTAAGGCGATGTGCAGCAGCATGTTTCCGGGCAGGTCGAGTCGGACTGCGAAGAAAGACCTGTCGAACGCGTTCAACATTTTCAGGACTGCGAACTGTTCGCGGCGCTCCTCTTGGTCTTCTGTTGATCAGCTCACCATGCTTGCGAAGTGATTCAACCCAACGAAGGATGGTGTTTCGAGAATGTCCGACGTACGACGATGACTGACTCATTATTTCGGACGAAACAATCATAGGCGAAAACGCGGTGCTCCACCGTCCAAAGCTCGATAACGACAACTGGTAAAATAATGCTAGGATCTCACGAGTCAAACAGCACCCTCCCCACCTCTCTCGTAGACGGAGGCGGAGAGTACTACCCATCCCAAAAACGTCCGTCCTCTCTGCCGCACCCTGTATATTATTATGAGATGGGCAATTGGATTAACAGTTATTATTTAATTATGAGAAGACAGTTATGAAAATTTGAATGGAATGGAATTTTTTGGTGGATTAGACAAAAAAACAGATTCCATTTATGGTTGTGAAGAGTCAAAATTTTCAGAGATGTGTAAGTGCTCCAATTTTTCGCAGCAAATATGAGTAAATGAATAAATGACGCTCAGTTGAGAGATGTTAAGCAACTGAGCGTTATTTACTCATATTTGCTAAACTCCTTTTGTTTTTATATCATATAATTTAAGTTTGTAGTAAATACCTCATGATGTCAGTATATATTTAAGGCCACAATATCAAAGCTAATTAAGACTGGTAAACAGCAATAATTTGATAACCATGGATTTCTAACAATAAAATTCTCATGCTAAGACTGAAATATCAATATTAACCGCTCGGTGCTACCTGCTTGTCAGTTTTGCTCGTATTTGTATCGGCAACTGTGAAGTAGACAACAACCTGCAAAAATGCCGACTCTACGCTTCACGTGCTATTAGATGCTACAGCCCTGCTATTTTTTGAATGCGCCTATTTACTTTGGAAACAAACTATGTTTCTTCACTAGAAATGGAATTTGAAAGTAATATGGTTTAGAAGATTATTCGGTATCTCCAACGATCCAAAGATTCCTCAGCAGATCAGAGGTCCAACCAAAACATTCTCAAGCAGCAACCTATCTTAGAAGTCAATCTGATTGCCGCTATGTTATTTTCTCGTTATTTTGCGATCCGTTTCCATTCCCTCACCTGATGTGTGCAAATTCTCCAAGATTAAAGCCGCATCTTCGTCAACTTCGTCACTCTCTCTATCCAAGCTGAATCTAGCTCCATAACACTTTGCAAAACAATCAATTACGTCCTTGATACCCATTTCCCTTTGAAACTCGTGTAGAGCTGGTACTACTTCCTTGTAGAATGCTACTTCCTTCTTGTAGGTTACCTGTGAATACGATCTATGTTAACACAGTACCTGGCAACAAATAATAAACAATGCGTACCCCAACGGGTGAGTGGATCAGTGCGACTGGCAACAGATGATCGATCGGTAATATCTGTATAGTTGTCCGAGATTTGATAAAGGAGTCAATTGAGATCGAGAAACAGTTTGAGCGCTAGGTGGTTGGAGTTGTAGCATGAGGAAAAAACTTTCGCCTTCGTCATATTGCTTACTACACATATTAGTTCCTTTTTTCAAACGCGTATCCTCTAATTTTGCTTGAAAAATGTCATAGCGATTGTAAGTAAAGTTGTATGTATCTAGAACCGCGGAAGCCCATGCCGGGTTGCGTTGGAGCATGTCAAAACAGTGCAAGAAAATTTATCTTCGATTCTGAGATAGATTTACTAAAAACCTTGACCATTCCAACTCAGATGACACAGCCTGATACTAATCCAACTCAAATGAGAAAAAGTATTGTAGCTCCAAAGTTAGTGGCAGCATTTGATAGGTGTCAGTTAAGTATGAGAAATGATGTCGTTATTATTGAAGCAAGCATTGGACATAACACTGACGAGTGCGCAAGGAGCTATGAGGCTTGATTTCCAAAGTGAGGTACCGGATACTGTCCACTGGGATGGCAAATTGTTGCCACCTTTAAATGCACGCAAGAACGTCTACCGATTGTTATAACGTATTAAAATAAAGAGCAACTTATCGCTGTGCCGAAATTGGTTAACTCTTCAAGCAGCGAGCAGGATCAGACAGCTTCTGATGCTATTATTGACTCGAATCTTGAAGATAAGATTCAGATTCTCTGTTGTGTTACTATTGCTTCAAATGTTATTCCTAGAAAAGGACGTCTATGGACTAATTGAATGGACCAGTTTGATTGACTTTCTTTCTGAGATGGTCTAGTTTGTGTTTATTTACAACTGATAACATTCAGGCATAAGACCGCTAGGCGTGTGCAATTGTTGTCCGACATTAACAAAACTCCTGGTTCGGACTTTATTGCCTCCGTTATACTGAAGATATGCAGCGGAGCTAACTCCAGATCCTTTACGACTCTCTCAGATTTCTTACGAATTCGGTAGCTCACGTAAAAACTGGAAAAAGGGATCTAAGGGATCTAAGACCGACCCTAACAACTACGGACTTACAGCTCTGCTTTCTGTTGTAAGTAAGGCCATGGAGAGGTTCATAAATCGGGAGCTTCTGAATTATCTTAAACGTCATGGCTTGATTAGCAGTATGGTTTTCGGCACCAGTGATCCACCGGGGACCGCCTAGCGTACGTCACGCAACTGTGGAGTAAACCCATCCAGTCATATGGTAAGGTTCATGCTATTACTGTTTATATACGAAAGCGTCCGATCAGCTGTGGCATGTTCCATCTTATGACCGTCCAGAGAAACTTTGCAGATGGGTTCCTGACTTCTGTGTTTGAATCAAAAATCCACCAAGTGACTAAAAGTCCTGACATTCCCATGTTTAAAAAGTTTCGCCAGGACTGGAAAAGTACGGATCCCGAGAAAATACAGATTTATATTGAAAAGCTATCATGCCTGAATATTTCAGAGATTGACAAGCTCCTAGAATTTTATCGACATGGATTAACCAAAGAAGTTGCTAGACACGACTATCGAGAACTAAGAGAACGTAATATTCAATAATATTCCTTGCCGGAGATGCAGAGACAAAATTTAAGATTCGACGGACAGGGGCCATGCATCAAGCCCGATGGATTATCAGAGCAACCTATTAATTAAAAATAGCGTTAATAAGTTCCCAGCTCAAACTTTTTAATAAGGACAAGGCAGCTACATAACCTGCTGAAGAGTATATGGGAAGAAGAGGTCATATAGAATGGAATGAAGCGATAGTGTGTCCCATCCACATAAATGGTGATAAATCAGACTGCCAGAACTACAGAGGCAATGCGCTTCTATATTTAACGTACAAGCTACTGGCCCAAAAAAAAAAAACCGGATGGCAATTACTCGAGAGTATCAATGCGGATTCAGATAAGGACGCAGTACCCTGACCAGATTTTTACGCTACGAGAAATTCAAGCTGTGAGCTATGAATATGAAAAACCGACTGTGCTGCTCTTCATTGACTTCAAGCAGGCATTTGATCGAATAAAAAGAAAAAAGCTATATCAAGCATTCCAAGAACAATATGTTAGCACAAAACTTATTAATATGAATAAAATAATGCTGGAAGAAATAGACAACAGGGTCAAGACAGTCATCGTATTTACAGACAAGTTTGAAGTCAAAGAAGGAATCCGTCAGGGAGATCCACTGTCATCGCTGCTATTTAACATTATGTTCGAGAAAACTATACAAGAAGCAAACATATACACGGCTGGTTTAGTATATTACGGGCCAATTTCACAAACATTAATATTTAACAGTCTCTTGTACCAATAGGAAAAGACCTTATCGATATCAGTGATTGCTATTGAAATGTTGAACAAAGTCGTGAAAAAATGGTTGCCTTATAAATAAGGGTACATTATAGATGTAATATTATGACTTTGTGCTTTAGAATTATTATAACTTTCATAGAATTTCAAATTTTTATCATTTCAGAAAAGACGGTCAGTTATTTAAGTGGGACCAACGGGAATACGGCAAATAATAGGTCGATTTTCTATCTATTTTATTTGGTAGAATGTTTCACTGTTTTTAACGACTGTTGATGCATAGAAATCTAGTTTTGTCTGTATATCACGTACAGGGTGTTGTACATAATACGTACCTGTAGAAATGTAAAGATTTTTGTTATTTTGAAAACAGACAGGTTTTGGTTTCTTTATTGCTTGTCGGGTGATGAGGTAATGACGGTAATCTACCAGTCTGTACCTTTTTTTATGCACAAAAATCAATTCAGGGCAACGATTTTGGAAAAATTCCACGAATAGTCTTATAAAGCATAGTAGAGTATATTTCAACAGTTGGCGGAGCGTACTCTACTGGGACCAGAGGGGTGAAACGGGATATTAATGCACAATCTGAAAATCACGTCGCACCCTCAAAAAATGGCCGCTGACAACCACACAAGTCACCGTGTTGTCATTGAATAGCATGGAACTAAACCTTCTTCAATGTATATGTTTTGTGACTGGAACCAAGGGTTGACGGAGCCCACACATGTGTCACTCGTTGGGGAATTTTGAAATGTAATAATCACCTGTAATTCAAATAATGTCTAATTATATAACCTAGAATGTGTACTCGTGAAACAAGAAAAATATTAAAAATTTCTAGTTATTGTTTGGGTATTTCTTAATCGCCGTAAATATAGTGTGGATGTTTGTTCAGTTCCTGAGCAAAGAAAAATATACAATTCATGGATGTATGGATGTCAAAAAACCTGAATGGTTTTGTTTGAATATGAATCTAAGGTGCCATAATAGTTCTGATGAACGGCAAGTAAATGAATGAATGTTTACAAACGCGCACTATCTATGAAATTTTTGATAAGAGTCTGTCATCAAGTAGGTGTTTAGTGACTATCTGCAAGAGGTTTATAGGGAAAAAAACATGGGAGGTGATGTTAAATCAGTAAAATGGCATATCAATTGAAGAAAATAATATAAATATCATTAAAAAATCAGTATATAGTAATTAAAATATGAATTTTATTCAAAAATCAAAGGACAGCACTCAATAATTACCACAACAAAAGAAGAAATCTATAAGTTTGAAAAAGTACAAACGTTTCACTACTTGGGCACAGTATTTATATCAAGACCTGGCAACACAGCGGAAATGCAAAAAAGAATGATGGCCGGAAATCGTGTCATATATGCGCTAAAAGGACTAATAAAAACCAAAATCAGGATCTACAAAACGCTAACAAGGCCAGTGGTTACGTATGCTTGTGAAACATGGACGATAACAGAGGCAGAACAAGCAAAGTTGGAGATATGGGAATGGAAGGGGTTAAGGAAGATTTTTGGTGGTAAAATAATAGTTGATGGTACGTGGACCCGAAGAACAAATGATGAGTTGAAAGAACTGTTTAAGGAGCCCAACATAACGGCGGTCATAACAGCTCAGAGGTTGAAATGGTTGAGACACGTGCAAAGAACGGCAGAACATAGAGTACCAAAGGCACTGTTTATACTATATATTTTAAGGTAGACGCAGGACGAGGTGGAAAACTGAGGTGAAAGATGATCTGAGAAAATTAAACATAAGTGATTGGGAAAGAAGAGCAATGGGTAGAGAAGAATGGCAAAGGATCGTCAATCAAGCCGTGGGCCTACTAGACCTGTAGTTCTAGTTTATATATATATAAATTTATATATATATATATATATATATATATATATATATATATATATATATGTCGGCGTCAAACGCTGAAATCCGCCCTTGCCTGAAATGCCTAGTCAGTCCCCGTATTGTCGGCAAACACCGTAACACCGTAACAGTTTGATTATTAAAACGTTTGTGTGAATCCATGTAATGACAACAGTTTCAGTCAAACACCGTAACAACCACATTAGCTTCGTTTCTGCATTCGCCTATTTTATTTAAACGCTGTAATCAATACAGTGTTGCTCCAATGAAGTACATATAATATATATATATATATAATATAACAAGCTACTACTTTATCAATAATATTAAAAGAAAGATAGTCAAGCATGAATTAATCTAAAAGGAAAGAAGGATATATTAAAACGTCTTTATCATTACATTATTGTGGACCTTATTCATTACTGTATTAAATCAAAAAGAAATATCCTGAAGCTATCAAAATAAATATAAAACAATAAATACACATTTAAACAAAATGCAGAACTGTGAGTAGTGACAAACGAATAAAAGTTACATAGAATTATCTTATATATTATATTATTCCAAACATTATTTTTTAGAGCATGTTAGACTCATATGGCACCTTGCTTTACAAGGAAGTTTTTTTAACCAACACATCTGTTGGACAAACACTACTTTTCGTTGGTTTACAGGAACACTTAAAATGTCCTTGGCTTCCCTCTAGCGAAAGTGACTGCACATCTTCACGTATTGAT